GACGATCACCGTAGACTGCCACAAGTTGCAGCAAGGCGCGGACGCATGGAGGGAGGAGATCCTCCACCACCGCCGCAGCCTCAAGCAGAGCCGAGGCCAAGGCCAAGGCTCCCTGATTGGACTCGCTTCGACGTTCAGCTCAGCCTCCAAAACCTGCGCAGCTTCGACCCAGCTGTAGTGCAGCGAGAACTCCGCAAACTCCACCTGAGATGGTTTCATGCCAAGGAGCCAAAAATGCGGATGATTCTAACCAAGGTTGGTCTGGGTGAAACCCGTTTGAGTCTGATCAAAGGCATTTGTGACTCGTGTAGAGAATGTCGAGCCTGGGACAAACCAGGCAACACGGTGATGCCTTCTGTGTCACTGCCAGGACGTTTCAACGAGGAAGTCGAATGTGATCTTTTCTTTTACAAACAGGAACATATTGTTTTTCACATCATCGACCGTTGTATTCGCTGGGCAGCTGGCACAGAGATTCCTGATAAAGCCATGCATACTGTTCTCGATGCCTATCATACGACTTGGATGCAACATGGCCCTGCTAAAATCTTATACTCCGATGGGGAAGGAGCACTGAATAATGATACAGCAAAGGCCATCCTTAAGGCTAAGGGAACAGAGCTTCGTATTCGAGCGCGTGGCCAACACGCTACAACTATCGAAGCTAGGAACGGCATCCTGCGACACCTCTTACACGTGATGGGAGAAGAATTGAATAGATTAAATATTCCTCTCAATTTCACTCGTCTCTTACATGAAGCCTTGTTTGCCAGCAACGCATTTACCTTCTACAATGAAGTGTCTCCGTACAATGCGCTGTATGGCAGACAACCAGCTATGCTTCCCGATTTCCCTGTCTTGGATCATGATCAGTCCGCTGAATCATCAGATCACTCAAGGGAGGAAACAATCAGGAGGGTTAGTCTGGAGGCAATCACGCAGGCCACTGCGGTTGCCAAGACGAACAGGGCTCTCCGTACGAAGACTACTGCTACGGGTGAATTTCACTACAAAGAGGGAGATCTCGTGGACTATCATCGCCCGACCACCACGAAAGACGACTGGGGTGGATGGAGTGGTCCATACCCGGTCATCCGCAACGAACCTGACCGAGGCCAGGTCATCGTGAAGGTCGGCAGTCGCGAAGTGCGAGTACAGTATCCTGACACACGACACACACTGTACATCGAAGCACTTATGGTCCGCGAGATAGGATCGGACAATACGGCCCTTCGGACAGTATTGGCCTTTATTGCCGGTCTGCCAGCGGGGAAACCCGCCATGACTTTCGGATATCTACCAGCGAAACAGGGTCGGCTGCAGATGACTGCTGCGAGCCGACTTTCGCCTAAGGTGCACTTGGCTCTTCAGTACCTCATACGCAACTACTTTCGTATTGAAAACGTTGTTGCTGTACGACTTGCCAAGAGCCTGACGAAGTTGCCTGCTGCACCCTATGCAGACAGCTGTACACTAGTGCACTATGATAATGATGTGACCCCTGGTTTTCATTACTATGAAGCTGATGGCACTGCCTTGAACATCTATGACATCACAGGATCTACACACTCACGCATCATCCAGTGTCTTAAATCCAGGAAGCCGTCTGCTGGATTTGACCAAGACCTCACTAAGTTTGAGGAACTCGCTGATGGTCCACCACCAAGCGAATCACCTCCAGCAGCTGCTCCTGAGGAGCCTCCTACGGATAACGATGGTCGGCTCCCGACCATCATAGAGGAAACAGAAGAAGATCTGGATGCTTTTGTCTTGAAGTCGTGGTATGCTGAACTGATGGATGACAGAACACTCCTTGAAGCTGACACAGAGGAAGTCATGCATACAGTTCCCACATACATGACAGACACACAGTGTGTGTTAGTCTCTACGACCTGTGAAGATGTGCAAGGCCACTTGCCGGAGCGGGGTCACCCGCCAGGATACGACATGGACACTTCTTACTACGTTCCTTTATGCTCCACGGATCCGGATAGCAAATATGATCTGGACTCCGATGAGCACGGGAAGTACATCGAGCTCTGCTTCACTGCAGACATGTCCAAAGTCGTCCTGTCCGAGCAGCAACACCGATTGTTGGATGACAGCAGCGTCACAACTATGCGAGTATACGTTAGCGCTGCCTCCAAACGTGCCGTGGTCGTCAAGGAAGACGATCTACTCACGAAGGCCGACATCCAAGCAAATCCGGTCAAAGTTTCCAAAGCCCTCTACACAGAATTGAAGACTTGGCTTGACAACAAATGCTTCCAGATGACTGACTTAAGCAAGGCGTCTAACATCATGACGTCACGCTACGTATACAAATGGAAGTTTGTCAAGAACGAAAAGGGCGAAATGGAAAGGACGATCAGGTTACGCTTGGTACTCCGTGGCTTCATGGACCTTGAAGCCTTTGATGTCGAAACCTTCTCTGGCACGGCAAGGAGGTCAAGCCAGAGACTGCTCGCAAGTTCTGCTGCATGCAACAAAGCTTGGATCATCGCTTCCCTGGACATCAACATGGCTTTCTTGAAGGGACTGACCTATGGCGAGCTCGCCGCGGCAACGGGCGAGAAAGAGCGTGTGGTGTGCTTCACACTACCACCTGGGTCAGCAGCTGTCCTTCGCACACTGCCAGGCTTTGAGTCATATGACGAATCAAAGCATTGTCTCCGGTGTCTGAAACCGGGGACGGGCACGAAGGATGCTCCCAGGGCATTCTCGCTGAAGCTCAGGTCCATCACTAGGAGCTTTGGGCTACAGCCTACTTCATACGACGAAGAGTTCGAGATGAGCCCAAACCTCTTGACAGCCAAGCACGTTGATGACATCAATATGACTGGGAAGGAAGAGGCTATTGACAAGTATGTCAAGTGTGTTGAAGATACGTTTGGGAAGTGCAAACTGAACAAGCACACATACACAAACTGTGCCGTTCGGTACAACAAGACCGATGATGGGAGCGTCACTCTTGATCAGGACGAATACATCAAACAGCTTCGTCCTATCACACATCCAGAACTCACAGGAGCTGATCCTGAGAGCAAAGCGACAAAGACGATTTCTGATATGTTCGTCAGTCTTCGTGGCGCTCTAGCCTATGCGTTGATCACGCAGGTATGGCTGATGGTCTATGTTGTCTCACTACAACGTATCCAGGAACCGACAAACATCCAGGTACGACGACTAAACGCGGTTACCAGAAAGCTACAGGCAGGTCCGAAGAAGATCGTGTATCAAGCTATGACCCCAACAGGAGAAGTCGACCTGCATAGCGATTCTGGCTATCGTCGTCTCAACGGAGATGAAGACGACGAAGTCAAAGGCTATGGTATCCGCGGGGCTAACCTGCTGAGGCGTGGCCACACGCAAGCGGGGAAACCCGTCGTGCACCTGGTGGACGCATACTGCAAGTCTCATCGACTGCAGGTGCGTTCGAGCTACTCTGCGGAAACACTGGCAGCAGCCCACAACTTGGAAGACTGCTACCCGACCATTGTAACGCTCCACGAGCTACACTCGGGACCATTGACCCCCACACAGTTAAAGAACATATTGGAAATGGGTGGTCTATGTATCAAAGTCACTCTGACTATTGATGCCGAGTCTGTCTTCAAGTCTTTGTCTAGCAAAGATCTGAAGAAGCCCACAGAATGTACTCTGCTTGGGCACATCAGCTGGATCCGCCAGATGATGGAACGCGGAATCGTGGAAAGCGTCCAATGGTGTGACACGCGGGATATGACTGCCGATGGTCATACCAAAGGTAGTATTGACCGCGCGTTGCTCCTACAAGTAATGGCCGGCCAGCAATCCTTCAAGCACGAGCTGAAGAAACATACGCCGTATAGGGCGGGCAGGTCGTCTCAGGACGGCCCTGCCTCCCGAGCCAGCGGGGAAACCCGCGGGCAGGTGCGCTTTAGTAGCGAGGAAACTCGCCGGTAGCGAGGCTACTCGCGCGCCCTTTCCTTGTAGGCAGCCGCTGCTGCTTAGCACTGTTTTTTCCGCATAATGTAGAAGTGCGGTACCTGCTCGTCTCCTCCCCCTCCGACTTTAAACGGAGAAGGTTAAAGGCGAGGTATAAATCGAGCATGTACCGCTGCCGTGCCTGGCTCAAGCCGGGCCCGGCCAAATATATGACTGTGCCTCACTGAGGCGCACGACTTGCATCAGAGATCGGAAAATACCTTTTCCATTGACGATGCCCATCCTATCCTTTACTCCAGATCCCATGCTTCGTCTTGCACTCTTGCTCATGCGATATGAGCCAAAGCCTGGGATATGGCAACGCTTAAAGCGTAACACATACCTAAGCTTACCAGCTTGTTTTCGACTAATAGAGCAAGACTTCCGATACTTGTGTAAATTTCTAGCATCGCGTGTTCGATGTTTTTCCTGGCAGCCGCCCTCCCGCCACCCTTGCCACCGTGGTCCGCCATTGCCGCTCACCGCGCTCTGGCCCTGCGCGCCTGGCAGCTGCTGCTCCCCCGGCGGCTCATCATCGAACGCGTCGACGTCTGAGCGTCCCTTGTTCCTCTCGGCCGCCCCCTCCCCTCCTTGCCCGCCGGCCAATTCGCTAGTTAGCGTCCCTTTCTAGCTTCTCGCTGGAGCGGAGTTCGCCGTCTCGCCGCTGACGAGAAAGTTCCTTCCATCCGCTCTTGCACTCGCCAGGCGTGTTCAGGCTGCCTCGTCACCGAGCTCCGAGCACGGGAACAAATCATCATTCCAATCCTCCTCGTTCTTCCACAACTGCGGAAACGACGACGACGACGACGACGACGACCTCCTCTCAAAAACTCGGCGCCCGCAATTTCCTCGGTGCGTTCCCACTCTTGAGGCATCCAGCCGTGGCGACGAGAAGCTTCCCAGAGGCCCAAGAAAGGGCGAAGCACGAACAAATCCAAAACATCTCGATCCTCGATCGACTGACCGACGACGGCGAAGAGACGTCGTCGTCGTCGACGGCGGCGGCGACAGCGGCGGCGGCGGCGGCCCTCGAGGTGGAGCGCCTCTTCCGCGCGCTGGAGCCCTCGCGCGTGGAATGGCACATCGCGAGGGCCGAGCGGAAGGCGCGTGCGCGCCGCTCCTGCACGCGGGCCGCCGCGGCAGCGACGGCCGGCCGGGCGGGCGGCGGCGGGCTGCGCCAAACCGACGCGGGCGGGCGGCCCCCGCGGCAGTCCGACGGCGCGACCGACGACCACAGCGACGACAGAGGTGGGTATGGGGTCGGGCCCTTCCCCCCACCATCATCAGGGTGGAGGAGGAGAGGGAGGAGGAAGATGAGGAGGACGACAACATCAGCGTCGGCATCGGCACATGCATCGCCGTCCCAGGCATGACGTAAAACTGCTACACTTGGCGGAGGGGAAGTGCCATTCTGCAATCGCGCATAACAGCCGTAATAAGTTCAGAGGCGGTCCTTGAGCCTCGCCGCCGGCGCGCCGTGGGGCAGCAGGAGGCGTGAAGCCTACCACCCGCGGCGCGTCGGGCAGCGGGACGCCGGGGCGCCGCCGCGCGTCGTCGACGCCGTCACCGTCGGCGCGCGCGCCGGGGCCGCCGGGGGCTTTCTCCGATCGAGGCGGCTTTTGGGCGCCCTGTCGCCCTCCCGGGCCTCCGCGAGGCTCCTCGTCGTCACGGCCGGCTTCGTTTAACGGGCGAAGAACGGTGTACAATAAATTGTTTCGTTGTCGGGGGCGCCTGTCCCAGGGCGGCTGGAAAGTTTATACCCTTACGGTGGCACCGTAGGGGTGTAAACTTTCCAGCCGCCCAGGGACAGGCGCCCCCGACAGCGAAAACAAATATTGTATACCGTTTTTCGCTCGCGGATTCCTGGTCGAAGCGCTGGTCTGAGGGGCAGTCGGCGTCAGCGTCGTCGTCGTCGTCGTCGTCGTCGTCGTCGGGGGGGGCCCCTGAGAGGACAGGACGACTTCCGAGCGGCATCCGTGGCCTCCATCTGCACAGAGTCTGTCGGACGTCCGCACCGATGTCTCGGGTCGGCGCTGGCCCCCCCCCCGTCCCTGGCGCGCGAAGCGCGCCAGCCCGCGTCGCCCCGCCCGCCCCTGGTGCTCGAGGGATGCCGCCATCATCATCGCTGTGGTCGTCGCCGCCCCATCGTGCTCGTGCTCGTGCCCCCTTGTTCGCCGCCATCGTGCTAGCCCGATCGAGAGTCGTGCTGCGGTGCTGCTGTGGGCCTGCAGGGAGGCTTCTGGAGCTCTCTGGTGGCCTCTGGAGGCTTCCTGGGACACCCAAAGACTAAGAGAAGCCTCCAGATGACGTCCGCCGCCGCCGTCGTCGTCGTCGTCGTCGTTGTCGTCGTCGTCGTCGTTGTCGTCGTCTTCGTTGTTGTCATCGGATGCTGAACGTGTTTGTCATGAGCGTTGGCGTCTCAAGGGTTTTGCGAAGACCTCATATGTCCAGAAACCTCCGGTCTCCGGGACCGTCTGGATCCCTCCATCGACATCCGTCGTCGGCGTCGGTGTCGAGGTTTTCGGAGGGGTATTCGGAGCTCTTCCCCCTGGACGAGTCCGAGGGACAATGTTCGACTAGACGTAAGAGTGATCTTTCGCCGGAGTGACCTGTGGTGCGGGCACAGATGGGCCCCCAGATGGCCGAACGCGAAGCGGTAGCAGCGGCTAGCGCGCCTGGATTTGGCCTCCCCGCGGCCCCCCAAAAGCCGCGCACCAAAGGTCACTCTTACTCAGGGTCACTCTTACGTGTAGCCGACATGTGAAGAGGAGGCTGGACGGAGGGAGGATAGGATAGAGGAGGTGGCAGGGAAAAAGGAGGTCTGGAGGAGGTCGGGGGAGCGAGGATAGAGAGGGGGGGGGGCGGGATGAGGGAGACGCGCGGGTAGGCGAGGGGCTGAGGTCGAGGAAGGAGGATGAGGAGCATGGAGGGATGAGGGAGATGGGGAGGCAGAGGAGGAGTGAGGGGGACGGGAGATGAGGAGGATGAGAAGGAGGAGGGAGGACCAGTGTAAACCCAAGACGAATCGACTATGTTGGAATACATCCTCCGAGCTCCCACTTTATAGGCCTCTGCCGGGGTTCATGTCCACTGATCCTGATTCGTGCCAGGAAACCACTTCTGTGATTTCAACATTGCGACTCAACGTAGCTGTCGCGCACTGAGAATTCTGAACCGCTGCAAACAAAGTGCTCCTGGTAACCAGGATAACCAATGGAACCCTTGCACAAGTTTGAAACGAACCCTTGCGCATGTTTGAAACGAACGTGCGCGGCGCCGAGGCGAGAGCCACATTTTGAAAAGAACCGCCCTCAATCCGTGAACCCTTGCAAATGTTTAGGCGAGGGCCACCTGCCCTCACTGCTTGTAACTTGCGGGGCGCTTAGGCGAGGGCCACATTGTGGACGCGACCCGCCTTGCATCTGTGAAATCGTTGCCAGCTTTCAAGTTTCAGGTTTTTAGTTGTAAGGAAGTCTTAGGCGAAACGTCCGGCCCGCCCTTCCGGCTGGCGTCGGGGTGCGACAGAGAGGAGTTAGTCACAAGGATAAGGAATGGAGGAGGGGGAGGATGACAAGGTAGGTGCGCTCGCGTCATAATTGACGTCCTACCCCTCCCTCCCATCCCTTACAATGGCGTAGATCTCCCCTCTATTCGCACAGTCGGATGTCGAGCAGGGCAATGATCCCGAGAGGGTGCGCGATGCATTGTAGAGCACGGCATAGCAGGGCGTACAAGAGCACGGCAGAGCGTAGTATGTCATAGCATGGAGCGGCGGTGCGTAGTGAAGAATTGCATCACAAAGCAATGCAACGCAAATAATGGCATCGCACATCGGCGCGGAACATAATATCGCATAGCATGGTGTCGATGATCAAAGCGTAGCATGGCATAGCATGGCGTGGCAGTGCGTAGTCAAGCACTGCATATCCTAGCATTGCAGCTGAAGGCATGGCATCGCACAGCGGAACACCACGTCACATAGCATTGCATTGCAGTGCATGCCGTGACATGGCACTGGAAGTAATGACGCCAGCGCTGCAGCGGGAGCACGATTCGGAAGGAGCGGTAGCGCGGAAATGAGGCCAGCGCTGCAGCGGGAGCACGATTCGGAACGAGCGGAAGCGCGGAAATGAAGCCCATCGTTTCAGCGGGAGCACGATCCGGATCGAGCGGAAGCCCGAGAATGAGGCCAGCGCTTCAGCGGGAGCAACATTTTGGAAACAGACCCAAGCGAAAACCCAATTCTCGGGAAGCCTGTGTGTAAAAAAGTATGCGGAGGGGGGCCGAACATCTTGCGGACGTCATCAGGGGAGAGAGGATAATAGTGTTCATATTGTGCAATTGCGGAAAAGGCGGAGGACGGGGAAGGACGAGGAGGAGGAGGGAGGAGGGAGAAGGATGAGGAGGGAGGAAGGTCCTTTTGGGTCTATCTTGTCAGTCCCGAGAGACGAAGCATCACCACCTTGCCTAAAAGCTGACGCCCCTAAACAACATGGCCACTCAACGCCCAAACGCGGTGCACCCCACTGTCGATGTGGCCATCTTCGCGCCCCAGCACGTCCACGCCGCCCCAGCGGCTCCACACAGCGCGCACCATAGGACGAGGAAGAGGAGGAAGAGGAGGAAGAGGAGGAGGAGGAGGAGGAGGGCGATGAGGACGACGACGACGAGGGGGAGGAGAAAGGCAGGCCCCCACCTCACGCGCGCACCTCACTCGCTGTCCGTCTCCTCGACCCTCAGCGGAGGCGGGATGATCGCAGAGCGGCAGGAGCATGAGCCCGGTGCTGCGGCGTCGTCCGCGTCCGCACAGCGCCTGAACCCGCCACCTCCAAGAGCGCGGGCCGCACGTGTTCCGCCAAGGGCGCCGGCGTCGGGACCTCGTCCGTGTCGGTCTTCTCATCGGCTGTCCAGCCCACACCCCAGGGCGCGGCGCGATTCACACGATCGCGTCGGCCAGCACGGCCGTCCTGTCCTCTTCGGGCTTCTGGGGCTCCACGGAGCAGGCCATCTTGTCCGCGTCCGCGACCAAAGCTGCCATCCTTGATGGCTGCAGCCTTCCGGCACCTCCGTTGGTGACCTCGAAGCAGTTGGGGTCGCGCTCCACGGCGGCCACACCGACACTTGGGGGGGATGGGCGAGGTTCTCACGAGCACCTACTGCTGCACGGCGGCTCCGCCCTGTTCGTGCCGCGCGTCCTCCACGAAGCAGGCCTGCTCGTCCCCGACCGCGGTCATCGTGGTCGTCGGGTCGCTCTTGGACTGGCCGCCCTCGCCCACGACGACGAGATTGTCCGAGAGGGATGCCACCTGCGCCATCAGCGCCGCCTCGCCGCAGCCTACCACGAACGCAGCCGCCTCGGCGCGCCGCGGCGTTCTCTCGCCCACAATCGCGGACTCGAATACCATGGCCTCCGCCGTGGCGGTGGCGGTGGGCAGCACGAGGCGGCGCCGAATGCCGGGCCCGATCGCCCCCCCCCCTTCGCTCCGACAGCGTCGCGAACCTGCTGCGGCGGGAGTCCCAGCGCACGGGCTGCCGCCACCGCCTCGCCAAAGGGTGGGGAAAGGACCGCTCGGCTCCGCCCGTGATCGGCCAGTGCTCCGCCAGCGCGACTCGCAGAGGCCTTCGAGCCCGTACGTGGGCGATGCCAGTCGGGAGCTGCCCAGCCAGGAGGCCGCATGCGCATCCTACCCTTCCAACCCTTAGAGATCGTGGGGTGAGCGCCCCGGAAGGGCGCCCTTTAGGGCCCCTCCTCCTCCTCCTCCTCCTCCTCCTCCTCCTCCTCCTGCCGACTCCGCCCGCCGCGCACGGCGGAGCCGCCGAGCCAGCGCGCACGCGTGCCGGCAGCCGCTCCAGCTGCAGGGGCCTCCACCGCAGCCGCTTTTTTTGCGCTCGCCGAGGGCGCCCCGGGCGCGGCGCGCGGTCCCGGGGGCTTCCCGGGGAGCCAGCTCCCGTGGAGCCATAGTTATTTCGCAGGGGAGGAGGAAAGATCATGGAGGAGTAAGGGACCCCTAACCCCAATGACACGATGAATCGATGAAGACGTAGCCTCACTGAGGTCCCCGTCTCCGCGTGATTAGGGATAGTCATTCTGGGCGGTCTGGACCCCCATATCCCTAATGTTCCTGGTCCTCCGAACTCAGGTCCCCTCCAAAAGGGTTAGGGTCCCGTTTTTTGGTCAGTCAGAGGATCAGGGACGGTGGAGGAGGAGGAGGAGGAGGAGGAGGAGGAGGAGGAGGAGGAGGAGGAGGAGGAGGAGGAGGAGGAGGAGGAGGAGGAGGAGGAGGAGGAGGAGGAGGAGGAGGAGGAGGAGGAGGAGGAGGAGGAGGAGGAGGAGGAAGGAGGGGAGGAGGAGGACGAGGAGGAGGAGGAGGAGGGAGGGAGGGAGGAGGGGAGAACGAGGAGGAGGAGGAGGACGAGGAGGAGGAGGACGAGTTGGAGGAGGACGAGGAGGAGGAGGACGAGGAGGAGGTGGAGGTGGTCCGTTTGTTGATTCGATCCTGCTCTGCCTACGCTGGGTCTCCGCTGCTGGGCGGGCCACCTGCACAGCACAGCAATGCCACACCCAGATCGGGAGCCGACTCGCCGACTTGGGATTAAGTCGGGCACGCCCCTCTGCAGGAGGAATATTCAAAAATAGTCAAACAAGTAGTTCGGGGACGATGCTTGTTTGTTTGTTACTTGTTTGATTATGCTTGAGCATTTCGGGGGTACTTCTTGTTTTTCGTCCACGCCCGACCTCAAACTTAGGAGGTAGCCCCCAGTGGAGAGCCCAGCTCTCGCGGGCAGAGGGCAGAGGGCCTTCCGGCCTAGAGGTGGGGCAGTGTTGCAGTGCTGCCCACGGTCCAGACAGTGTTGTAAGACTCCCCATCTCTCGCCAGGGGATATCTCATCCTCCTCCCCTTCCTCCTCCTCCTCCTCCTCCTCATCTTCCTCCTCCTCCTCCTCATCTTCATCCTCCTCCTCCTCCTCCTCCGCCTTCTCTTCCCCGTCCTCCGCCTCCTCCGCCTTCTCCTCCTCGTCCTCCGCCTCCTCCTCCTCCTTCTCCTCCCCTTCTCCTCATCCTCCTCCTCCTCCTCCTCCTCCTCCTCCTCCTCTTTCTCGATGGACGGCTTCTCGAGTCCACCCAGCTCCCGCCAGGCGTCGCCAAGTTCCATGTCGGCATCTGGCAGAATCTTCAGCGGCCAGCAGCCGGAGGAGCATCTGCCGCACAGCATGCCAGAATCACAGCAGTTGGCCAGCGTCCCCACATCACTCCTGCAAAGCGGGGTCGCTCATGCCCGACGGGTCTGGCGGTGTGGGCGGTGCCTGATGTGGGACAACAGCGTGGGCAGCAGCAGGTTGAGCGCCTGCCTGCCCACTCGTCGGGTGCATCGGCAGGAGCTGCCGCAGGCGGCGGCACAGGGGCTCCGCCTGTGGCAGGCCGCCGGGCAGTGGCAGCTGCCGCCATCTCTGCAGCCCGCCGTTGCTCCACGGCCAACTCGTCCCGGTGCTGCTCGGGCTGGAAGGGCTGCCTGGCCTGCAGGCTCGGGGGCGGCGCCGCTGCTGCCTCGACCTGCCTGATGTCGGCCGCCAGGGCAGCAACTTGTTGAGCGAGACCGTCCGGAACGGCAGCAAGGTCACCACGATGAGCTTCACCACCCTGCGCTGGGTCGCGATCAGTCCCGCCACATCTTGCAACGATGACGCAGGTCATCGGAGCGATCTCGCTCCCAAAGGCCGCAAGATCAGCAAAGAGAGCAACTGCCATTGGACCGCCCATGACGAGCACCATCTCGGTGGCGGCCTTCTCCACACTTGATGCTAGGGAGTGCGATACTTCCCAGCGGTGACCTCCGGAGCTCGTGCAGACGCCTAGAAACTGATTGAACCAGCCTGGGCGCACAGGCTGGAGCGAGCGTTCCAAGCGTAGACAGACAGGCTCTGGAGAAGGCGCACGATGATCCCAACATGTTCTAGAAAGCAAGCCTTGGATCAGAGGTATCCATTTTGTCCACGGGTGAGTGAAGCATCTTGAGCCAAACTGGCCACATGAGCTGGAGAGTTTGATGAGGGAGGGGGGGAGGGGAGTGTCGAAGAGGAGGAACGAGACGGAAGTCAGGGGGGCTGAGGGAGGAGGGGGAGTACTTCATCAGGAGAGTTGGAGGCGTCTGGATGAGGAGAGAGGCGGGGAGAGGGCGAGGAGGCAGAGGCGAATATGGACGAGCGATCGAAGGCTGGAGGGCCGACGGAGGACCAGGATGAGGAGGACGACGCCTTGTAGTCAGGCAACTTATCAATCGCCTGGCCCGGCCAGCAGCAGAACAGATCGTTGACGTTGCCGCCGCCGGCGTCGCCGCCGAGAGGCCCGGGAGCTGAGGCGGCCGCTCGGCCTCAAGTCGCAGGGCTTCTCCCTGAAGGGGCTGCGCCAGGCGCGGGCCCCCGCAGAGGGGGGGAGGCGCCGCCGCCGGCAGCGTCCCCCTGCAGGGCTAATTTCGATTCCTCCGATTCGATTCGATTCGATTTCGATGATTTCCGATTCCGATTCGATCCGATTTCGGATTCCGATTTTGGCTCAGATTTTTCCTAACGAAGGCCTACTAGGCTGCCGATTTCCGCCGATTCGACTTTTCCCGACTCGGCTGCCGATTTCCGCCGATCCGATTCATTTCGATCTCCGATCCGACTTGTCGATTCGATTCTGGGCTCTCCTGCCCCTGCAAGCTGGATCGTCGGGGGATGAAGATCGAGGAGGAAAAAAACGGCATGAGCACAAACTTGCTGGCGCTCCGCGCGGACGGCTCTCTTGGATCCGCGCCGGGGGCCCCCCTGGCGGCGCCGCCGGCGCCGCCCCTGGCGGCGCCTCCGCGCGCCGGGGATGGGGGGCCCATCGCAGCTCCCAGACGTCCGCGCGGAGCGTCGCACCATCTCTGTTGATGGCGTTATCTTGCTGACTTCCTGCTTCAAGAGTCGAGTGGCGTTCCCTCCTCCCTCCTTCCCTTCGTAGGGGGGCGCGCGGAAGCTCAGTCTGCTTCCGACGCCGTCCTGCCTCATTCAGTCGGGCATGTCCCTCTACAGGAGGAATATGCAAAGATGGTCCCAAAATAGTCAGAGACGTTTTTGTAGGTTCGATTATTTCTGAGTTGTTTTGTATATGTTGTATCTTTCGTCCAAAATCCGCCTGTAGGGGGTCATGCCCGACCTAAGACTTCATGGTTCTACTCACCTCTTCCGACAGAAGGGTACCGCTACCCTTCCCTTCATTTTTTCTTATTGTTTTCGGCCCCCAAGGCGGCCCCCGTCGCCAACGCTGGATTCGCTTCGAAGTTTTGGTCGAAGTTTTGGGCCATGGAGTGGCAGCATCGCTACCTTTGCGTTGCCCCCCAGCATCAGATCGTCATGGGCAACGCCAGCGGGGGGGAGGTGCAGTGGTGGGTTTATCGACCTCGAATCGCCCATTCATGGCCGATACGGGGCCCGATAGCCCACCCCGCGGATTCGCAATCGAGGGTCTATCGCCGATGCATCGGCGATGTATCGCCGTTTCCAGGTCGATGCTCCCCCCCCCCCGCCCCCCGAGCCAGTGCCCTCCTTAACCTTTCCTCTCAGGGATGGGCCTGACCCGGGCGCGCTTTTGCTCCCACGTTGTCCGTCCCGCCCTGTCCCGGGAATTGCGCCGCCGCGGAACGTCGATGTGTCATTGTGGGGTTCGGAGGCGCAGCGCAGCGGGAAAGACGCCGCGTCTCGTGGCGCCAGCCGCCGCCGCCGCCACCGTCGTCGTCTTCGTCGTCGTCGTCGTCGTCTTCGAAATTTTTGGAGGTCTTCTTCAAAGAGGCCTGCAGTTCGGGGAGGCGCCAGTGGGGCCGATCCGCTTGGAATTCCTAGTCGGAACGCGACCCAGAACATGTCTGAGGATCGGCTTCTCTTGAAGCGGACCAGGGACAACGACGGGGGCGACGAGGGGGATGAGGGCGACGCCGACGACGATGACGAATCCGATAGCGAAGACGACGACGATTACGACGAGGGCGCTGGGGGCGATGACGATGAGCAGGACGACGCTGGCAAAGATGACCACGAGGGCTGAGGACCACGAGGACGACGAGAGGGCGCAGGCGACAAGGTCGAGGACGACGACGAGCCTGACATCTGGGCAGCACGAGCGGCTTTTCGGTTGCCCCGTTGTTTGCGCCCCAGGGTTACGATGTTCCAATATACTTGAACCTTGACCGCCAAAAAGAATTTCGAGCACCAAGAAGGTACCGAAACTTGAGGGTTTTCACGTGTCGGGCCCTAGGGGGCGATACTCTTTCGAAAGTGTTTGGATATTTTCCTGGGTGCTCGAAATGATTGCTAAGGCCTTACGGCCGGTGCCGCCGACCCTGAAGACGACGACGACGAATACGAGGAGGATGCGGAGGGGGATTCAGGTGGAAGGGAGCAGGAGAAGGCCAAAGAGATGTTCCCCATGTGGTCCGAGGGAGTCGTCGCAGAGACAGACAGGGAGTCTTGTGGCCTGCGGCCCTGCCCGCCACCGTGCTGGGGTTGTGGTTGAACGGCCTCTTGGATGTTTCCGGGCCTGTTGGGCCCTCTGCTGGGCCTCTTAGGGGGTCTCTTGGGGGCCCCTTCAGGCTCCTCGAGGGGCTCTTGGGGCTGGGGCCTTCGGGGGCCTTTTGGGGCGGGAAGCTCGAAGTGTCGGCTCGTGGTCCTCCTCGTGGGCCCTAAGTGCGATGGGATCAGCACAGCCCCGAGGGGCTTCGCGGCCCGACGCGGCTGGAGGCCTCGTGCGGGCGCGGGCGGCTGCGCCCGGGTCGCCCGCTTTCCACCAGCCTGCCGCTGCCGTGGTTGGCGCTGCCGTGGGGGGCCCGTGGGACCTCGCTGCCGTGCTTCCCGCGCTGGCGCCAGTCGTCGTCGTCGTCGTCGTCGTCGTCGTCGTCGTCGTCGTCGTCGTCGTCGTCGTCGTCGTCGTCGTCGTCGGCGTCGGCGTCGGCGTCGGCGTCGGCGTCGGCGTCGGCGTCGGCGTCGGCGTCGGCGTCGGCGTCGGCGTCGGCGTCGGCGTCGGCGTCAGCGTCGTCGTCGTCGTCGTCGTCATTGTCGCCGTCATTGTCGTCGTCGTCGTCGTTGTCGTCGTCGTCGTCGTCGTCGTCAGCGTCGTCGTCGTCGTCGCTGGGACCGAGCCGGAAGCGCTCTTTTGGGCGGCGCTGCTGCTGGGCGACTTGCCTTGCGCTGGGGGCGCACCGACATAGTATGTCACGCAGCTCCCCGCAGTTGCTGATCAGTGTGAGGGGGCGGCGGGGTCGTCGGCAGTCTGCGAGGCTCCGAAGAAACCTGCCGCAGGTTGCGAATTTGCAAAACAATGTGGGTGGGTCGCGGGGTGGCCAGCGGGGTGGCTAGGTGGGTGGGGATCGGGGTGGGTCGCGGGCCGGTCGCGGGCGGGTCGCGGGCGAGGACCACGACAACAACAACAATCATTTTAAGGCTGTTCGCTCCTATCTGCTCACGTGCCAATCAATACGTATATCCCAAACCCTCGGTACCCGCCCTCGTCGTCTTCGATCGTACCCCCTTGGGGGTATATCTTCCTTACCTGCCACGTGTATTTAGTGCAGCCCCTTAAACAAGGGAAGAGAGGACGGGTGGAATGGGGGAGTGAGAAGAATGGAGCACGAGACAAATTAGCAGGAGGGGAGCAAGGAGCAGAGAACAAGTGGTAGAACCAGACGGGCAGATCGGGTGGGCAGACCCACAGCGGGCAGGTCGGGAAGGCGGGCCCAAGCGACGAAGTCGAGCAGGCAGACGGGTCGCTGAAGCGTGGGTCCTGCATTAATCGCGAGGAAGTCTCGAGCGATATCGCGATTCCCAAGTAAATCGTGAGAGAAGCCAGCGTGGGCCACGAAGGGCATAAAATCCGAGGCCACGGAGGGCAGCGAGGGGGCCACAAAGGGCGACAGCGGGGCCACGAAGGGCAGCGAGGGGGCCACAAAGGGCGACAGCGGGGCCACGAAGGGCATGCATATGGGGCCACGACTGGAGCGAGCGGGAGCCACGAAGGGCATTCGTATACGGGGCCACAAAGGTCGACAACGGGGCCACTGATGGCAGCAAAGGGGGCCACGAAGGGCAGCGAGGGGGCCACGAAGAGCGACAACGGGGCTACGAAGGGCATGCGTATGGGGCCACGACGGGCGCGTGCGAGCGGAGGCCACGAAGGGCATATAATGTGGGGCCACAAAGGGCAGCAACGGGGCCACGCAGGGCAGCGAGCGAAGGCGACCGCGGAACCAGTGCGGGCAGCGAGGGGCATCGAAGGCGGGCGAAGGGCAGCGAGCGGCGACTACAGTCATTAACGGGCTGGTCGGGCGGGCAGGCCACGACGGGCGGGTCGAGCGGCCGGGTCGTTGAAGCGGGAGTCCTGCTTGAACCACGAGGCAATATGTCGCGGGGGCGCGATTGCTGAGTGTCGAGGACCGGCATCTGGATAAATTGCGAGGAAATCTCAAGCGAAGTGGTTCGGTGGTAAGTTGCGAGGAGGTCCCATGCGAGAGTGCGATTCTATAGTACATTGTGAGGAAGTATCAAGCGGGAGCCGCGGTTCGGTGGTAGATTTCCAAGAAGTCCAAAGCGAGAGCGCGATTCTTCAATAATTTGTAAGGAAGTCTCAGGCGGGAGCCGTTGTTGTTGTAGGCCGGGGGATTCGCAACGCAGTTTGACCCAGATTGAATTGTGAGGAAGTCTCAAGCGGAAGCGCCGTTCCTGAGTACATTGGGAGGAAAACTCGGACGGGAGGGGGGGTCCTGAGTAAATTTGGAGAAAGTCTCAGGCGAAAGCCGTTGTTGTTGTAGTCCGGGGGGCCAGGGGCCTAGTTCGACCACGAAGATTTCCGCTGTCAAAAAACAGGGTGCGAGCGTCGAGGGGCACACTTTGACTAAGAAAAAAACCACATGCACCGGTGAGGGGGGATCAACAATAATTTTCTTCAGAAATGATAGCTCAAGAATCAACAACAATAACAACAACAACAACAGCGCAACAACAACGCAACAATAATGCGCAACGCGGAACCCCCCTTCAGCCACGCGCCCCGGGACAGTGACTGACCGTCCGATACCCTCACATCTACTTTTGGGAACCCATGAGACAGCAAGGGGTCAAACACATTCGCGAAATCCTTGGAACCTGAGAAACAGGAAGGAGTCACACAGAACACACATCTCATGTCTGTGTGACTCCTCGCTGCTGTGCCATCCGTGGCGGCGCTTGCACACCGCACGCCGTGCTGTGCATGGCACCAGAAGGCGCCGACAGTCCAGGAGCTTGCCAGGCCGCGGGTCGGCTTGCGAGTCAAGAAGACAGTTAGCAAGAGGGTTCGACCTCAAGGATGCTTTAGTAAGTCCCTGGACCGTGTTCGTTTCGATCTCGGTTTGCATGCATCGAAGGCGGAACGGAGACAGAACGAGGGAAGACGGAACGCAAAACGAGAAGACGTAAAACTCGGTTTAGCTCGAGACTTGGTTAACGTTGGTCGAAAGGTCTGGTCATGGTGTTTCAGAGCGTTTTGACTGCTTCACGGCGCCGTATGTCGTGCGACGGCTGCTCTGTCTTGTTCATCATGATCGTTCATGTCGAAGGGCGTGTGCTCTGGCGCCCCTCACAACCTGGCCCCCTCCAAACTCGTCGACGCGTCGCCCCTTGTGGCCATGGAGCTGAAGGTCGTCGATTGCTTTGAGGATGGGGTTGGTCTCCCTGTAGGCGGGCATGAGGGAGTACCCCCCCATAGGCCTTCTGACATTGTGGACAGTATCTGGAGATCGCTGGCAGTTTAGGTCAGCATCGCTTAACCGATCCTTGTTCCCATCCCTATCCCGAGCCACACCTTCCCACCTCCTCAGATCGGGATATACCCTTCGAAACCCGAAGGGAGCAGCCCCTATCCGCATCTAGGGGGGTAAATCGGCCAGTGGGACCCAGGCCACGCCCGTGGGGATAGGGATCGGTTAAACGATGTTCCTTAGGGGGTGGGAAGATGCTTGCCTCTCCGGGCTTCTTGGGGTCGCGTGCGTATGCCCGCCGCCCACCCTCAGGCATACGAACTCAACCCACAACTTGGTTCGATGGCGGAGGCATTCGTGCGCCAGCTTTCCCGATGAGATCGCGCGTGAGCCTTCGTGTCCATGCAGTGTGCCGCAGCAGCCCGCGTGAGCCTTCGCGTGAGGTCGCCGTTGCGGTTTCGTCGGCGCGGCGCGAGGGTGTGAGGCAACGGAGGGCCTTTCAGCAAGGGCCTGCCAAGAGCTTATCAGAAGGTCCTCCCCCTTCGCCCCGTTCCGACCGAAATCCGCCTTCTTCAAGCCAGCTCCCCTCCAGGGACTCATCTAGGCCGGCTTGCCGAGACGCGCCGGGCTGTGGCGACGAGGACCTCGATAAACGCACGGGAACTTCAACCACGAAGAAACAGCGTCGACGACGATTTTAACGCTCGTTCTATTGTTTGGCCACGACGTCGGCTCCCAGACTTCCTGATTCTATCCCGACGACAGTGTGTCCCCCCCCGGGCCCGAAGTGGACCTCCCGAAGTCGAAACACAAGAACAACTGCCCGCATGCTCTTGTCCGCGACCAGGGATTTAGGAGGTCCGAGCAGGGCCAACGGCTTTCAACATTTTCCTCGATCTTTGGATCTGTCCCCGGAGGTCTCCGCCCTGATCCCCAGTAGGGGGCAGAAACGCCAAAGAGCTTCCCTCGACCCTTCCACTCGATCCGCTCCCAAACCCCCTGGCCGTTCCCTCCATCTCACGATGTGGCGCAGTGGTCGTGCAATAAAATCCAGTGCTCGAGGACGGAGGCATCCTTTTCGTTGCGGCGTGGAGAAACAGGAGAGATCCTCGATCTGCATTCTGCGATGCGCACCGCCACCTGCTGAGCGACACGAGCAAACGGGGGTCGACCAAGCGGATATGCGCGCGTACGCTTAAGTCGGGCATGTCCCCCTGCAGGAGGAATACTCAAGAATAGTGGCAAAATGGTCGGGTGACGATGTTCCGTGCTCTTTTGATGATTTGTGGATCTGTTTTGGTTTTATTTGTCTTCCAAAGTCCGCTTGTATGAGGGCTTGCCCGACCTCAGCGTACGCCGCCCGCTCAGCTTCGCGCACACTTGCCTGGTGCTGTTCCCTGCGGTGTGCCGCGCCGGCGGCCCCGCGTCAACCACGGAGTATAAGGCCGCCGAGGCGTTGTACGCCAGGCCTGGATATTTCCGTCGCTCGTGTGTGGCGATCGGTTTCTAGCCCGAGGGCCACTCCTCCGAGGAGGAAAAGGTACCAATACCTCTGCCCTTCCCCCGTTTTACCTTTTCTGGGCCTCCTCGGCGGCACTCGTCGTCAACGCTGGATATTCGCCTCGAGACCGTGGTCAGAACGCACCCCGGGAGAGGTCCAGGGAGCAGCGGTATCGGACCTCTTTCGGAGGTGGATAGACCTCCTACCCCGACACGTCGACTAGCGAATTGGCCGTTTTCGGTTCGCGAGGGGGCGTCGCGGCCGTCATTTTTGCGGGTCCAGCTCCGTCGGTTTCGGTCCGAGGCCGTCTTCACGAAGGGGAGGTTTGCTAAAGGGAGGTTTGTCCACCGCCGAAATGTACAGGTGCAGTCTGGGGCCTCGAGACGGGGGTCGATTTCAGTCGGGCCCGTCCCTCTACAGGAGAAGTCCTCAAACGTAGTTTAAAGAAATCGTCTGGGGATGATTGTTTTTGTTGGTACTTTGGGATATGTTGGGGTAATGGATGATGACAATTCATAAATGACCGGGGGTCGTGTTCACGCGGCGGCGCCCGGGATGACGATTAGAAAAAACCGGCCGCGGGCTGGAAGAAAATTATGTTTTATAATCGTTCCCCTCCAGTTAGAAATTTGTGCAAAAGTAGCAGAAAACTATGTTTTAATCATTCTCTCTCATTTTTTATTAATCGTCATCCCGCTTTATGTTTCCAAATTTCTTACTTCTAGGCTTCCTAGATGGGGTCGGAGTAGATGGGGTCGGAGGATCGCGCCGCATCGGCAATGCATCGGCGATGCATCGGCGATGCATCGGCGATGCGGCTCGATACGGAGCCCGATGTCCTCCACGCCTACGTCGCCGATGCATCGCCACCGTCGCCAGTGCATCGCCGATGCATCGCCGATACATCGGCGATGCATTGGCGATGCGGTGCGATCCTTCGACCCCATCTACTCGGACCCCAACTAGGAGGCCTCTATTACTCGTCGTCCAAAATCCGCCTGCAGGGAGGTTTGTCCACAGCCGACTCAATTGGGCTGCCCAGTGGTAAGCCCGGCATCGGCGCGCGTGCGCCTCCCGGGGCGTGATCGGAGGGCGCCCGCACGGGGCCCGGACCCGGCCAGGGTCGGCGGGGCGGCCAGCTGACGTCCCCGGAGGTCCCTCCACCGTGCGACCCTCGGCCCCGGATGTAAGTCGGGCCTGTCCCTCTACAGGGGGGAATCGTCCAAAATCGTGAAAAAATAGTCTGGGGATTATTTTTTTGTATTATTTACATGTTTGGAATATTTTCGGCTTTTCTTTATTTGTTCGTCCAAAATCGGCCTGTAGGGGGACAGGCCCGACTTAACCCTGGATCTGCGCGCCGCGGGCACGATCGACCTTCACCCGGAGGGCGGAGGAGGAGGAGGAGAAGCAGGAGGAGGAGGAGGAGGAGGAGGAGGAGGAGGAGAGGGAGGGAGGAGCAGGAGGAGGAGGAGGAGGAGGAGGAGCAAGGGGAGGATAAGTAAGATGATGATGATGAGGAGGAGGAGGAAGGAGGAGGAGGAGAAGCAGGCGGAGAAACGTCCTCCCAGGAGGGCCAAGACGGAATGGCCAACGTGTCTGCCCCAGAGGAGAGTGGATTCTCGCTCCTCGACCCTCGATCTTTCGATCCTCGACCCTCGTTTCAAGACGAGGGATGGGTACTTCTTCTCGACCCCATTCTGCCTCTCCAGGGGTGCGTCACTCCCAGAGTTTCGAAGATGATCTGGCCGTGGCGACGAGGGCGCCCTCTCAGGCGCAGCACGCGCCAGCCCTCGACCCTCGATCCCAGACCCTCGGTCGTTCGATCCTCGACCCTCGACGTGTGCGCCGCGGGCAGGTGGCCGTGGAGTTCTACCCGGAGGGCCACCACACCTCTCCGGAGGGCCTCGCCGCGGTGCGCGTCTTCATGCCCCAAGACGCGCACGTGCGGCGGGCCGCCCAGACAGCTCGTCGTCGTCGTCGTCGTCGTCGTCGTCGTCGTCGTCGTCGTCGTCGTCGTCGTCGTCGTCGTCGTCATCGCTGTCAAGACGCGCACGTGCGGCGGGCCGCCCGGACAGCTCGTTGTCGTCGTCGTCGCTGTCGTCGTCGATCAAGGTTCGGGGTTCGAGGATCACCTCACAGGAGGCAAGCACCTCCCGCCCCCAGTACGTTGGCGCTTGCCGAGCAGACCTCTGCGTGTGCCGAGCAGCCCTGTCCAGGTCGATCCCCTTCTTCGGGTGCGCTTGCGAGACGGGCCTCGTTTCTAGGTGTGGTCACTCTGCTGGCAGGGCCTCGGCCCTAAGCTGAAGTCGGGCCTGTCCCTCTACAGGAGAAATATTCAAGAGAATAGTCAAAAGATAGTCACTGGACAATTTGTTGAGCATTTGTTTGCCATTTGTGGGTATTTGTTTGACTAGTTTAAATTTTTCGTCAAACTCCCCCCTCTGCGGAGGACATGCCCGACCTAACCCTAAGCGTGTGTGTGTGTGTGTGTGTGTGTGTGTGTGTGTGTGTGTGTGTGTGTGTGTGTGTGTGTGTGTGTGTGTGTCTGCGTGGGCGCCGTTCTGGGGGGGCATCGCGCGCAGAATGGTTCTCGAGTGGCCTTGGCCCCGGACGCAGCGCGATCTACGAGGATCGTGGCCCTCGGGGCGCGGACGAGGGGTAATCTTTACAAGGGATCGACCCGTGGAGTGCGGACGCCGCGCGGTTCACGAGGGGTCCTGGCCCTGGGAGCGCGGACGCAGCGCGGCGTGACTCACAAGGGATCGTGGCCCTGGGAGTGCGGCCGCTGTGAAGTCTGTGAGGGTTTCTGGCCCTGGGAGCGCGAATCCAGTGGAGAAAATTCTAGACGCTTCGCGTTGAGCTGGCGCTTTCTCGGCGACTCCTCGCATTCTCGACGCTAAGATGCGTCTCCCTGAATTCCCCACCTGTCCGCTAATTTGCTCTGCATGCTTGCATGTGCGGTCGGCTGTCAACAGTGACGGCTGGGTTCGCAAATTATCTGGCTCTGTGCCCCAGTCAGCCCGATTGACACGCCCTCTGGACTCTTCCTTGCGGGCCGCAGATCAAAAAGTAACCCCACCAGGCGCCTAGTTCGCGTCCCGGACTTTGCTCTCGCCGCCTGACCGTCGTCTCGTGGCCGCGACCGAAAAAAGTGACCCCACCAGGAGCCCCCTGCCGTCAGCTCCCCCACAGCCTCGCGGCTGCTTTGTGAGGGGGCCAGCCGGCTAGCGGCGCCTCTTGTAGCTAATTAGGCTTGCCCGTTGGCCCGGACACCCTGCCCGCCGCCTGCCTCTTCGCTGGCGGCCGCGACCAAAAAGAAAAGAACACCAGCCCCCATCCCGCGCAAATCGCGGTTCCCTCTGCGCGGCGTCCCCGACACACGCCCCCTGGCCAGTTCCTGCGTATGCGTCTGCATTCTCTAGGCATCTGGTCTACAGTCTTGTCTCAGCCGACCGTGTCTGAAGCTGGCCCTTTGGTGTTATGTCCGCCGGCTCACTCAGGAGTGGTTCAGCCTTCTTGCAGTGATCTGCGCACCCCCCACTGGCCCACTATTGCCGGACTGTTCGTGGTCCCGCACCTCGCCGCAGCGGTGGCCCTGACCCCTGGCGCCCGGTGGCGACAAGGTCCTGGAGCGTACCTGGTGATTTTCTCCCATGGTACCCACAACGGGTCCGAGAGCGCTTGCACCCCTCTGGCTCTGCTTTCCTGATTGCGCGCTGCCGACCCGGGTCTTTGACAGTCGGGTGGCACAGCCTCGCTAGTCGAACGATTGGTCTGTATCCTGCAGCACAGGCCACGACGTCTCCTGGCGTGCAGGTTCAATTCACCCTGATGTTCCATCTGGGTCTTGCAAGTGTGCAGCATGCAGCCCTGGCCTCTTACAGCCAGCTCAGCCAGCTCAGCTTCAGCCAGCTGCCCCCCCGGCGGTAGGTTCTGATCCCGCGCTCGGTCGCTGTGTAATTAGGCTCGCGCGTAGCCCGCTCGACTTTTCGGACGCCTCATGCGTTTTCGCTGGCTGCCGCGACTGAAAAAGTAACCCCGCCAGCCAGCGGTTGCCCAGTTCTCTGCAGTTCAGTTCACTTCCGGCAGCCTGCAGCCCCTGGCAGTCAGCAGCCCCTGGCAGTCAGCAGCGCATCTGCAGCTCGGTGCACGTTCGCAGCCCCTGGCAGCCTGCAGCCCACTGCCCCCCTTCCCCTCGGCCCCTTCCTGGTCTCGGCCTGAGTTGCGGCGGTGGGCCTGCTCGTGCTAGGTAATTTAGGACCTCGCGCGGCCCGCTCGGATCTTGACACGCCGTCGGCGCGCTCGCCTGCGGCTGGTTAGAAAAAAGTAACCCACCAGTCCTCGTTCCCAGCCGCTGCTTCTAGGTCTTCGCTGGATCTAGTTGACGGCGCGCGGCTCCTCCGCTTGCGCTCGCGAACAAAAAAGCAACCCCACCAACCCATCCAGAGACGATGCCCCGAGGATTTGCCTCGATCAGGGAAGTGGGCAACACGCTGATTAAGAATCCCTTTTGGGGCGCTCTTGGGACACTCTTGGGCGCTCTTGGAGCCGTCTTGGGGCTCTCTTGGGCCTCTCTTCTGTCGTGGGTGCCTTTTGGCGGTCCCAGGGGCCTCTTGGAGCGTCTCAGGAAGCCTCTGGGGGCCTCTTGGGGGTTTCTTGGGAGCCTCTTGGAGGCCTCTTGGGCGCTTCTTGGGGCCTCCTGGGCGCCTCTTGGGGCCCTCTTGAGGCGCTCTTGGGAGCCTCGGGGGCGCTCTTGGGGCCATCTTGGAGGACATCGATCAAACAAGAGGGGAACATCAATTAGCGCTGCCCCTCGGGAGCCCCAGACGTCGCCTTTTGGGGCGCTCTTGGGGCGGTCTTGGAGTGCTCTTGGGCGCTGTTGGGCCGTCTTCGGGCTCGCTTGGGCCTCTCTTGGAGCCCTCTTGGCCGATCTTTGAGCCATCTTGAGGCCTCGGATGGCCATCGTAAGCGAAAAGGCGAGAAAGCAAACAACACTGATTTCCAAAGGTGTTCGAAGGACTTTGCCCTCTTCGGGGCGTCCTTGGGGAGATTTTCTTTGGCCACTTGGCGCCGTCTTGGGACGCCCTTGGGGCGTTCGAGAGCATCTTGGGTGTCATCTTGAGGCATATTGCACTAGCTTGAGTCATCTTGGAGGTCGTCTTGGGCTCTCCGAGGCGCTGTTGGAGCCATATTGGGCCATTTCGCACGTTCCAGCGCGTCGCGCCCCCCACCCCCCCTCCCGTCCAGGTCCAGGGGAGGGGGTAGGGGGAGGGGTCAAGCTACCCACCCGCCCGCAAGCCGTCTAGCTCACTCCCACCCGCACCCCCTTTACACATAAGTAGCACCCGAGCCTGAGCATGTTCAGCGGTCGTCTTTGGATGGACAGCTACTGGGGACCATAGCCGACCCCAGGTGCGCGACGCTTGAGCGAGGTGCGCCACGCGTGCCAGGGGCGCCACGCGCGCCAGGCACCCCTGGGGCCCGAGCGTGCCAGGCACGCCTGGTGCGCCAGATGCGCCACGTGCTCCGAGTGCGCCAGGTGTGCCGCACACCCCAGCCGCGCCAGGTGCGCCTGCGCACGTGACAGCACACATCTGAAACATGTCGGCCCCCGCCATCCTTGTCGAAAACCGATGACCATCATTGTGTCTGGTGGGCCTGCGCACAGCATGCCACGCGCCACCACCCCCGCCGTCCCTGTCAACAACCAATTTACAATGATCGCGGGATGGCCGAGCATGATCCAGATTCAGCCGCGAGGTGCATGTTGCATTTTTTGTCAGAGTTGCTAGCCCTGCGCGCAGCAGGGAATATGCTGACACCCCCGCCGTCCTTGTCAAAAACCATACAGAATGCTAGGGGGCCTCACGAACATGACTCAATAATTTTCCTACAAGTATACTACGCGTTGCTTTTTTCCCAACCATCCTGTGGTGTTGGGTCCTCGTTTTTAAGAGACGTCGCCCCGCGTTCCTTCCTTCCTTCCCGCTGCCCCCTCCCTCCTCCCATGTTCATCATCATCGTCATCATCATCATCATCATCAGCACCGTCATCGTCATCGCCATCTTCGTCAGCATCATCATGGCCGTCATCATCCCATCAGCGTCAGCGTCATCCCATCATCATCATCATCATCATCATCATCATCATCATCATCATCATCATCATCATCATCATCATCATCATCATCGACACCCATTTCGGCACACCCCTCAGGCGTTTCGTGGCCCCATAGGGAGCTCCACCGAAGGCCCCAGTGCTGCCGCCCGCATGCGTCCCGCACACCCAATTCGGCACACCCCTCACGCGTTTCGTGGCCCCATAGCGAGCTCCACCGAATGCCCCAGTGCTGCCGCCCGCATGCGTCACGCACACTTAATTCGGCACACCCCTCACGCGCTTCGTGGCCCCAGAGGGAGCTTCACCGAAGGCCTCAGTGCTGCCGCCCGCACGCGTCCCGCACACTCAGTCGGCACACCCCTCACGCGCTTCGTGGCCCCATCGGGAGCTCCACCGAAGGCTCCAGTGCTGCCGTCAGCATGCGTCCCGCACACCCATTTCGGCACACCCCTCAGGCGTTTCGTGGCCCCATAGGGAGCTCCACCGAAGGCCCCAGTGCTGCCGCCCGCATGCGTCCCGCACACCCACTTCGGCACACCCCTCACGCGTTTCGTGGCCCAAAAGGGAACTCCACCGAAGGTCCCGGTGGGTGTGCCCGCATACGTCCCGCACACCCATTTCGGCACCCCCCTCACACGCTTCGTGGCCCCATAGGGAGCTCCACCGAAAGCCCCAGTGCTGCCGCCCGCATGCGTCCCGCACACTCATGTCGGCACACCCCTCACGCGTTTCGTGGCCCCATAGAGGCTCCACCGAAGGTCCCAGTGGGTATGCCCGCATGCGTCCCGCAGCCCCATAGGGAGCTCCACCGAAGGTCCTAGTGGGTGTGCCCGCATGCGTCCCGCACACCCATTTCGGCACATCCCTCACACGTTTTGTAGCCCCATAGGGAGCTCCACCGAAGGTCCCAGTGGGTGTGCCCGCATGCGTCTCGCACACCCATTTCGGCACACCCCTCGCACGTTTCGTGGCCCCATAGGGAGCGCCACCGAAGAAGATATTCACAATTGCGGTACTCACAATTGCATATGGTTGGGTCCTTCGCCAGGATAATTTGAAAGGGATGGTGGGGCCGCATCGGGTTGGCTGCGCATGCTCCAAATGTGGAGGCACAGTGCGGTTTGGTTTGTTTTTTGACAGGGATGGTGTCGACATGGTGTCGGCATGGTGTCGACATGGTGCCGGATTTGCCCCCGGTCGCCTGTGGGAGGCGGTGTATATTAATAAGGAACAGTTGTAAGCCCCTCCCCGAAGGGGAAGGAGGGGGTTGGAAGAGGCAGCGCCCTAGACCACACACGCCCAGAGGTCTGGTGGGATTATTGGAGTAGGGTGGGTCGTCCTTTGGCGCGTGCCCTGGCACGTTTCGTGGCACGTCCCTTGGCTTGCGCGTCCTCTAGTACTTGTGTGGCGCGTTCCCTGACAGATTCTGTGGCGCATCCCACGGCACGTCCCCTGGCGAATCCCCCAGTGCGCCCCCTGCGCAGCCTGTGGCGCCTCCATGCGCCTGGCGCTCCCTGTCAGGTCGTCCCGTTTCGGAACTGACTCGTGTCTTGATTTCGAGATGATTTGAGCGCCCTGCACGTTTCGACTACTGATTACCAGTTCTGGGCGAACCCTACGGACAGGTAGCTCGAGCTAACGACCCATATGAGTTTGGCCAAGATAAGGACGCCAAGGACGACTGGGCCCACAACGCGATAGAGCACAGCTCAGCTCGACACATCATGGAGCAGAGCTGCACAGCACCGCCCCTGGCACAGCATCACCACCACAGATACCCTCAGGGCTGCCATTGGCCATTTCCCAAGCCAGGGTAGTTAAGTATCCCGTTCTGGGTTCGTGGGTCGATCATACATATTATGTTATGGCGGGTTCGACGAGGAAGAGAAACATAATGAGGTGGTGAAGGATCGGAGATGACCAGGACGAGGGCGACGACACCGACGATGCCGACGACCACGGTGGCACCGACGACAGCACCGACGAATGACGAATGCGAGGATGACGAGGACGAGCACGATGAGCAAGATGACGAGTTCAATTACGAAGACGACGGCAAAGAAGACGGCGAGGACGGGGAGGATAACGGGAAGAAAGGACCCCGCACATCGCCGCATGCTTATGGATGATCCCGTTGTTGGGAGGTGGTGTGTTTTGTGGTGAGTAATTGTGATGGTCATTTGCTGTTGCCACCCTCGCTGTCGTTTAAAGAATGGGGCAATGCCCAAAGCACACACCACTGCTACCGTGGCCAGCATGGAACCTGCTCGCCCTTGGAGATAATCCCGCAGTGGGGCTAGGATCGCCAGAAGGCAGCGCCATTCCCTATGTCGGCGTTCGACCGAATTCGCGTGCGAATGTTGGTCTCGAGTGTCGACCAGGGTCACGGTGGGGCAAGGTCATTGTAACAGGCGGTCATGTCCTACGCGCGTCTTTTGTTGCTGGCACCCCGCAGAATCACTGCACCCCTGCGCCCCGAGGAGCGGTGCGATGTGAATCCCGCCTGCTCGAAGAAGAACGCGCGCGACAAGCACAAACTTGTTGTGCGCTCCGCTCGGAGCGCCACAAGTTTATGATCATGCCGCTTGTTGTTCCTCTATCTGCGCAGTACTGCCTTTCCCGCTCCGAGGTATCAGGTCTGGATCGGACGCTCCTCCGAAGGGGTGCGCGAGCACACGCCCGGCGACAGCTGCTCGATAGACCTGTTGGTGGAGAATTGGAAGGCGCGCTGTTGGATGTGCGCCCCTGCCCGCTCGCCACGACACACTTCGCACCACTTGACCCTGGTTTCGGGGGCGGCAAAGAGGGGGAGTGAGGACGAGGGGGGGGGGACATCATGGCGGGGCGCATGAGATCTTCCCAGATGTCATGGCGCCCCGTCTTATTTCAATGCGTCCCCTGGCCCCCTCCCCCCTGGGCCGCGCACATGCCTCGGGTCATGATTTGCACACACCCCTCTTGGACCCCCCCTCTTTGGACGCCCCCGAACCATTGACCCTTGCTGATCGCATGTTGGTGTGGCTGCCGACCAGAGCCGCAGCGGCTCTCCGAGCAGTCAATTTCACGATCCCTTCCCCACCGACGCAACGCGTTTTCCTGACGAGGGGGCCCTAAGCACTGGATTTCGGTCGAATGCATGCTGGCCAACGACGATCTTCGCAGTGTTGGTGATACAGTCGGTGCCCTGAAGAAGGAACCCTTTTCGTTGGGGAGGGGCTCCATGTTCCTTGATTGCTTCACAGTTTGCCTTGGGTTTTCCTTTGGTTTCCGAAGGGAAATCGAAGTTCAACTTCTGGAGAAAAGGGGCCTCGTTCCTTCTTTTGGGTTCCTTAGGTCAAGCCCCCGGCTGTACTTCTCATTCTGGCTTCTACACATTCTGGCCTCTCTGAAGCACCGAACTTGTGAGCCTCCTCGGACCACGGACCACGTGCGGGCGGCACGAACACGGACCATAGTTGGGCGGACCAGAGCGGCGGACCGAAAACCAAGCCTTGGGAGCAGTCGTATGTCTACCACGGCAGTGGTTACCAGCCTCGAACGTATCCCTATCCCTCAGATTGACACGCCAAAAGGCGATGACAATCTTAGGGATTCGCCCTCGAAAAATAAGGGAATCCCTAAGATTGGCATCGTGATGAGGAGGTGCCCAGCATAGGGATAGGGATATGTTCCTGGCTGGTAAAGTGGTTCGGATATCGATTTTGTGTGCTTCTTTTCAGTGGCGCACGGCTCATGGAATGGGTCAGATTGGGCAAACGGTTTTTCAACGCATTGGAGGGGGGTGGCTCCAGGACGGCGAAGTCTCGTCGTTGCTATTGTTGCTGCCATTCTCGTATTGTCTTTGGCAGCATCCTCACCCTCAAAGTGCCGCAACGGGCCTCAGAATAGCTCTCTTGGGTGGATCGTGGGCCCCATGCAAAGAGTAACCGCCCAGCTTCCGCGCAAAAAGATCGCCGAGGACCCCCGACTCCCGCTGGAAACCGCCGACTTCGGCGGCAGACGGATACCGAGGGATCCGTTCTCGAGCACATTTGGTTTTCTGGGAGGCAAGCACATCGGGCCTCCCTCCTCCGCGCGCCTTCCCCGTCCCATCCTGCGTCCCTCTCCTCTCCTAGCGCCTTCCCTCTCTCGCTCCTCTCGGAGCGGGCGAGACGGGGGAGGGGAAGGGGGGGGAACCGCCCCGCTACTTTCCAGTGCTCTCGATCGATGTTTTCTAGCGCGGAGACGCATCTACATACCGCTGATTCCCCAACACCCTTTGTACGAGCCCCCTCTCTCGTCTCTCGTCTACCCTGTCCTTCCGTTGCCCCCTGTTGTTCTGGAGTGCCCCGCGTCGCGAGAAGAAGGCAGTCGGCGACGCCCCCGGTCTGTAGGTAGTGGTCCCTACCCCCGTCGGGTCCACTCAACTTCGCATGCCGTCGCCCCCCCCATCCCCTCACCTGGCCCTTCCTTCTCCCTGTTTTGGCTGCTCCCTGCTTCCCCAAAGCTGCCCGCGTCGCGTGAAGAAAGTACGGTGGAGGCATTTGTTAAGGTATAGTCCCAGGAGGCGCCTGACCCTCGAGGATTCCTTCTCCCATGTGGGCGGCGGTGATATCCATGGCCGATCCACGATTGGAGTTCCACTGGCTTCCAGACCGTGGATTCCTCATCTAAGGGTTCCCTATCCAATGCACCCACCGTAGTCGGCGACAGCTCCGTCTCTCCTCCGCCCATCTGGCTTGCTCGTCTTCCCCGTCCCATCCCCCGCCACTTCCCCGGCCGCGTCCCTCTCCCTCCTCCCGCTGCCCTTCCCCCGCCTCTACTCCCCTGGAGCCCCCCCCCCGCGCCGCGAGGAGAAGGTGGCCGGCGACGGCTCCCTCTCCGTGGTCCTGGAGGCGCGAGGATGGGGCCCCCGGAGCGGACGAGCGATGGCAGCGTGGGCAGAGGTGGGCGGCGTGCAGAAGACGTGGAGAAGCAGGTGAGGTATGCAAAGGTCAGGAGGGTCAAGAGGAGAGGGGAAGGGAAGCTTGGGAATTTGGGGAGCTCGGGCCACCAGGAAGCTTGCGTATTCCTGGACGGCAGGGCCCCTTGGGACCCCTTCGTGTTCCCAGGGGCTGTCAAGCAGCCGCTCAGGATGAAACGCTGGCCCTGGGGAGAGCATCGGGATCCAGCACCTGCCTCTCCTCGCTGACTTCCTCCTCCTCCTCCTCCTCCTCCTCCTCCTCCTCCTCCTCCTCCTCCTCGCGAGGGAGTCGACCCCGGAAGCCGCAGTGGAGATCGAGCTTGCACTCGCCGGAGAGCCGGGGGCTTGGCGGAGGGGGAGGAGCGCCGCGCACGCACGGCGGCCAGAGGAGGGCAGCGAGGGAGAGCACGCAGGAGGAGCGGCAGCAGGCAGACGGGGGAGGAGGGGCGGTGCCCACGGGAGAGGTCCCTGCAGGTCTGCGGAGGTCTCTCGAGGCAGAGATCTCTGGAGGGCTGCGGGAAGCTTCGAGGATAGGATAGGATAGGACAGGATAGCCACCAGACGGTGTCTGATGTGAATAGCTGCCCGCCTAGCCCTGAGCTCGCCGACGAAGAAGGCGGACCAGAAGGCGGGCACCACGACCCAGAAATTGCATGGCCGGACCAAGGAGCTCGAGGAACGCACCTGATGCGGCGCACGAGTACCTCACATCAGGGACAAGCTGACACTGAACGCTTACACCTTCTCACCCGCCACACAGATGTGGGTAGCATTGCAGCATCAACTAAGGAGCGCAATTATCACACCTCAGTTGCAAGGAGAAGATGCCAAGCTGCCGATGCTGAGCATTCCAGCCGAAGCTTCTCATGGGGCACGCAAAGCCCATACACATCATCAGCAACAACCATCCCAACCAGACAACAAGGCATGACACACCCCACGAACGCCAAGACACTATGCGAGCCGTTCAAACTATACACTGAAAACTTGGCCAGCCTTGCCCAAGCACACTCCTGTCAGGATAACTGCGACCGACCGCGAAAACACGATGCCAATTCCAAGCGTTGTAGCTGACGATGGGATGTGCAACCTAAGCTTCCAGCCCCGAACCGCGCGACAAGAAAAGAAGACACCACTGCCTGCCCGATGCACAGGTCCATCGCGACGCTGGTCGTGAGAACATGCAGACAGACCTCGCCATCCCTTTGTTCCATCACATTCCCGCTGCTGCTGCGATGTTGTAGAACGTTGTCAGTTCCGCTTTCTTGGCCCGCTGTCCGAGGCCACGGCAAGGGCCATGGCAGCGCCAGTCACGTATCGTATCACGCGGCGGTAGCGGCCGTCGCGGGCGGACAGGCTCGTGGCGCAGGCCACGTGCGGTGAGGAGGACGGGGAGGGAGGAGGTGGACGATGAGGAGGTGAGCAACGGGAAGAGCCCGACGACGTCGGTGATTTCTTGGCCCTCAGACCAGTGAAAACAACCTGAGATGTGAAACCAGCCCAGCCGTGGGGAACGGGTCGGGATCTCCAAGGACCAGTGAATCGAAGCAATGGAGTCGAAGGAAGTCGCGGTCCCGCCTTGCCCCAGGAGGAAGGCGATTGGTGAGACAGAGGCGTCGAAGGAGGGGGGTCAGACGGGGGAAGAGGAACACGAGCAGGGAGACAGACGAGGGGGAGGAGCAGAACCAGACAGAGAAGGAAGGGAAGGGCGAGAGGGACTGAACAAAAAAAGAAGGGGGAGGGAACTGCCGACGAGGATGAGCTGGAGCTAGGGATGGTGAGGAGGTCGAGCATGGAGGGGGGGAGGGGAGGACGGAGAGCAGCGGGAGGCCCAGCGAAGCGGGGGGGTGGTGCTAGGTATCTTCGAGGAGGGCGGCGAAAAGGAAGGAATCACCCGAGAACCGTTGGACATGTGATCGTTTCTTATTCATTGCTTTGCCGATCGGCGCGGGCCCTCGCACCCCTTCTCCCCCCCCCTGGGGTGGATCTTGGGCTGTTTTTGGCACCCGTTTCGAGCGGGTGGAGTCTACCCCAGAGGACGCACGGTCCCAAACAGTCGCACTAAGCAGAGCCAGACCACCCCCCCCCCTCCCCCCCTTCCGCCCAATGTCGAAACGCCGAGTAAAAGAACGCTCACCATTGAACGCCTCTAGAGACCCGCGCGCGCCGCCGAAGTCACCAAACATGCGCCCAAAAACAGTCGAACTCCGACGAAGACGGCGAGTATCTCGGAGACGGCAGCAACGACGAGGACGACCCCGGAGGTTCTGCTTCTGGGGGTCTCCCGAAAGCGTCCGAGAACGCCCGAAGAGGCTGAGAACCCCCGTGATGTTTCTGAGGTCTTCGAGTGCCGCCGGGCCTCGCAGAACAGCCGGCGGCGACGACCGACGGCGACTGGCCCGAGGTGCTCCGAGACTTCCGAGACCAGGACCAGTCGCTCGCGAGAGACATCCGCATCGAGAGCGCCTGAACCCCGCCGGGGTGCCGGTGACGCTCCCGTGCATCCCTCCTGCTCCTCCCTCTTCCGCCTCCTCCTCATTCAGCTCCTCTTCATCCTGCCTCCTGCTGCTCCTTCTCCTCCTCCTCCTGCTCCGCCTCCTCCTTTTCCTGAATATCCTCCTCCTCCTTCTCCTGCCTCCTCCTGCTCTTCTGCTCCTCGTCCTCCTTCTTCTCCTCCTCCTTCTGCTCCTTTGCCTCTTCCTCCTCTTCCTCCTCCTTCTGCTCCTCCTCCTTCTCCTGCCTCCTCCTGCTCCAGGATTTTATTGCAACTTTCGGAGGGATCTCGGGCCCAGGCTCACCTGCGCCATACATGGCGCGCTCCCGAAAAAGGGTCTCGTCTTCGACGACGGCGGAAGTGAAACGGCAGCAGGTCCGATGGCAGGAGTCGGCGGAAGGCAGGCGAGAGGAACATGCGTCCCCATTGGGCACGAACTAATGGGGGGCGATAAATGAGTGTGGGGGGGGAAGGTGCCTTTTTCGGGCCGTATAACTAAAGGGCTTCTCTGGGGCCCTACGTGAAAGGCCCTTTTCGGGGCCCTAAAGTGCTCCTTTTCGGCAGCCCTCGCTGCCCCCTCATTTTTTGCCCCCCATTGCCTCGCGCCCAGTCCAAGAGATCCGAGTCTCTGGACACTTAGGGTTTCATGAAGCGGCCATGCAGCGTTCCGCCTCCTCGGCTCTGGTCCTCCTTGCCTCTGGGCCCCCCTGCTCATCCGCCCCAGTCCGCTTCCGCCCGGTCCTCCTCTGCCTTGGTCCTCTTCTGGCCTCCCTGATGCGCCCCTCCCCAATATCCCTCCTGCTCTGCATTCTCCTCCGGTTTGTTGTTCTGGAAGTTTGGAGTAGGTTTCGCTCTCCTGCTGCACTTGGCGAGCCAGCGAAATCGTACCAGAGGTTTTTACCATTTTCGGCATCTGGCGCGGGGCCCATAACAGCCCCCCGACCGTCGAAATACTGCCCCGAGGCGAAGAACGGGCACTGGGGAGAGAGTTCAGGGCTCCATGGGCCCAAACATTGGAAAACACGCGACGTCGGATGTCATTGTCAGTAATGCCTCTTCCTCATTATGTGTTGCGTCTTCTCGTTCCCGCTCTTCTCTCCTTTCACCCCCATCCTTCTCCCGCTTGTCCTCCCTCTTCTTTTCTCCTCCGCACCCTTCCTGCTTCGTCCTGTCCTCCCAGCTCACTTCTCCCTCCTCCATATCCTGCTCCTGTTATGCAGCTGCCTACGGTAAGTCCCGCCACTGTACCAGCCCAGTTTTTTCTGTGGTCTACGATGATGACGAGTGATCAAGTTGATGGTGATGACGATGTTGATAACGGTGGTGGTGATGATGGGGATGAAGACGAGGACGGTCATCGGGTGATGATGAGGATGGTGGTGATGATTGTATATGAGTATGATGATGGTGGTGGGGGTGATGGTGATGATGTTGTTGATGGTGATGATGTGATGATGATGGTGGTGGTTGTGGTGGTCGTGATGATGATGATGGTGATGATGAGGATGATGATGTTGATGATGCTGATGGTGATGATGATGAGGATGATGATGAGGATGAGGATGAGGATGATGATGATGACGATGATGATGATGATGATGAGGATGATGATGATGATGGTGGTGGTGATGATGATGGTGGTGGTGGTCGTGGTGATGATGCTGGTGGAGATGATGGTGATGGTGATGGTGATGGTGATGGTGATGGTGATGGTGATGGTGATGGTGAGATTGAGGAGGAAGAGGAGGAGGATGAGGAGGAGGATAATGACGAGGAGGAGGAGGAGGGGGAGGAGGAGGAGTAGGAGGAGGACGCGGAACGCCGTCATGGGCAGTCTTGGGGCCTCTGCTGTGCTTCCTAGGGGGCCGTTTTGGGGTCTCCTGGGGGCCTCTTTCGTGCCCCCTGTGGCCTCCTGGGGGCCTCTTGGCGCGGAAGGCTCGACGTGTCGGTTCGTGCTCCCCCTCTTCGGCCCTTCTCGGGGCCGCCTTGGGGCCCTCCTGGGCGGTCTTCCGCACCCTCTGGGCGGTCTTGGAGCTCTCGTGGGTCGCCTTAGGGGGCTCTCGGGCCAGCTTGGGGCAGTCTTGGAAGCCTCCTGGGGCGTGTCGGAACTTCGAAAAGGCGAACGCCCCAAAAGCATTGGAACAGCCTGTCACTGACTCTTGCCCCTCGGGGCCCTCTTTGGAAGGCTCTTGGGGCTTTCTTTCGACGCTTCGGACGTCTCGTGGGCCGTCTTGAAGCCATATGATTCGGTCGTCTTGAGACCAAAGTGGCCCGTTTTGAAGGAATGTGTTGCCGTGTTGGAGGTATCACGGCTTTGGGCGCGCGAATCTGTCGCACTTCGCGAGGGGTTGTGGTCTCGGGGAGGGGTGGCGGTGCATGCGAACGTGCGCGAACGGGAGATGGGGGGGGGCCTTAAGAAGAAAGAAGCCCTACCACACAACGCCTGGCATTCTAGCTCGCCCCAACGTGCCTGGGGGCACGGTGGCGGATCTCGTCCTCGTGCTCTTCCCCCACTGACTGGATCCATCCCCCGCAACCGGATGGCCGTGCCAGCCCCAACGGATGAGCCAAATGCTTCCGGCGGAGCCTTCTGCCAAGAGACCCCAAATCTGTTTCTTTGGGAAATAAATGCGGTGTACGGGCGATGATACAGGGGGGGCATTTCAGTAGCGACCCCCGCGGCAGACGTTGTGGGCGTACGCGCATTTGACCTCCGCCCCCCCCGCTGCCAGCTCCCTGGGGCATCTTATGGACAAACGGGGGAATGTCTTTGCCAAGCTCCATACATATCGTCAACAAGGGCGGAGCTGACGACGCTATTCCAGCGGCTGACGGCCTACAGCGGACCCGAATGCCTTTGCTACCACACTGCTGACCCTAGCTGCGTCCTTCTTGGTGTCCCCCTCTTTCTACCTCGCTCCCTCCTCTTCCCCCCCTCCTTCTACCTCTCCTCCTCTGCCTCCTCCTCCATTCTTCCTTACAGGTAACTATCCATGTCTCGCCCCGAGGCTGGTCGAACGGGCGGGCCGGGAGTTTCGCCTGAGACTGCCGTACCATTTATGACGCTGAATTTCAATATTGGCAACGGCTTCACGGATGGAAGGGGGTGGTATTCAAAATGTGGCTCTCGCATTCGCGCAGCGCACATTCGTCCTAAACAATTGCAAGAGCTTTCCATATTGAGGGCGGGCCGTTTTCAGCATGTGGCTCTCGCCTCTGCGCCGCGCGCACTCGTTAAAACGTTACAAGAGCTTCACGTATTGAGGGCGGGTCGTGTTCAAAGTGCGGTTCTGGCTTTATCGCCGCGCACATTCGTCTTGAATATGTGCAAGAGTTTCACCGACTGAGGGCGGGCCATTTTTAATATGTGGTTCAGGCCTTCTCACCGCGCACATTCGTTAAACCAATTGCAAGAGTTTGGCGGATGAGGGCGGGCCGTTTTCAACATGTTGTTCGTTGTTTAACGCCACGCATTTAGGTTTTAAACACATGCCAGCGGATTTCCATGATTAACACACCAGACATCAGGTGCCTGGAACAACTCAAGATTGCCAGGGCGCAGCAGTTACGTTGATTCGCGGTGTTGACGTCCCAGGAATGGTGTTGTGGCGCGATTCAGGGTCGTCAAGACGCCACAGTCAGGCTGGTTCGTGGCGTTGAAGTTCCGAGAGTGGTGTTTTTACACGCTCCAGGATCTTCAAACTGTTGCTTCTTAACGGGGCACTTCCTTCAGTGCCAATGAATCTTTGTAGGGGCCTGTGAAAAAAAGGAGCTCGGAGTGAGGGTTTATTCAAACATCGCTGATGAGTCTTGGGTTTACACTGATCCTCATCCTCCTCCTTTTCCTCCTCCTCCTCCTCCTCCTCCTCCTCCTCCCGCGGTGCTCCTCGACTGGAGAGCCGCGGCAGTCCCCTGGCGGCTTAGCCCCGCGTGCCGTCGCGCGCGGGCGCGCGCCCGCGCGGAGGCCGGACACCCCCCTCCCGGGCGCGTGCGAGCGCGCCTGCGACGAAGTTCTCTCTCGCCTCCCGCGTCGCCTCCTCATCCTCCTCCTGCTACTGCTCCCTTCCCCTTGCAGAGCGCCCGAATTACGGAGTTTGGCCGCAAGCAGTTGACACAGATCCTCTTCCATGTCAAGGCCGCTCCTCTCTCTTAACATGTTTGAGATGGCAGGCAGACATGGGTCACAAACGTGTCGAAACTTTCCCTCCTCTTCCTCTTCTGCTTCTCACCTCTTCCGATGCTTAGGTGGCCTCTGCTCACCTGGCAGCCTCAGCCAACAACCAATGATGCGAAGAAGACGCACCAACGCCAGACACGCGCAGAGACAGAGTGTACACGAAATGGGAGAAGCGAGGTTGGAGCCCCCCCCCCCTGGATCGGAATCCCTGCCCCTGGATTCAGCAAGGCTGCAGGGTGCAAGCCCGACTGGTCTGCCTGATGTCCCGCCCGCCGGGGCGGGCCCTGGACACGTCATAGGATGACGGTACAAACCCGACTTGTCTGGGTGTCCTTCCATGGCAGGGGGGGCAACCGGAATCAGACATTCGAGCGGTTGAGCTGCACTTCGTTCCCCTCCGCTTTGTTGAGGCGTGGCTGACAACGAGCTCCTCGTGTACAACGTGGAAAGACCACAGGAAGCAAAGGCAAACCCTGCGGACAATGAACTATATGCATGTGTATCTATATATGTATACACATATACATGTGTGTATGTATGTATGTATGTATGTATGTATGTATGTATGTATGTATGTATGTATGTATGTATGTATGTATGTATGTATGTGTGTATATATGTATGTATTTATGTATGTATGTATGTATGTATGTATGTATATATGTATGTATGTATGTATGTATGTATGTATGTATGTATGTATGTATGTATGTATGTATGTATGTATGTATGTATGTAGATGTGTGTATGTATATATATAAATGTATATCAATATGGAGCGCGCGGCGATCATGACGTTCCAAATGGAGGACTGGACATTGTTGGGCCAGGCACGCATGTTTTGCAATGCGGCGCATCACGACCGGCCGAAACGGTCCCTTGGAGGTGCGACGCGAAGACAGGCTTCAGCCGCATGCATTCTCCGCGGCACAAGGTCCGAGGGCCAGCCGGATCCTCAGCCTCCGTCCTCTCCCATGCTGGCTCGAGGGGCTCCTCGATCTGCCATGGCCCCGCCCGAGCGCGGCCGCGCTACGCTGGCCGCGCCCCCCGTGTGCGAGGTCGAGGAGGAGGAGGAGGACGAGGCGTGTGTCGACCTCTGCCCGCTCTTCCCCGGGGGCTGGCAGGAGCGCCTCCCGCCCAAGGGGCGGGCGCCGCCGGAAAGATCATCGGTGGCTCTTCCCTGCAACCACTCGGGATGCTGGGGTCGGCGCGTCGAGGGAGAGCGCGCCGGTGGCGGCCACGCCTGTGGCCTCGGAGGGCGCCGAGCCCCCTCGTGATCCCAGGTCGGCCCCTGCGAGCTGCGACGACGTCGAGCACAGCCTCCCGCGCGGAGGTGTCGCTCCCAGGCGTCCCGCTGGCCGCTTTGGGAGCCTCGGGCGGTCCCCCGGGGCCTCCTTCCGCCAAGTCGCGCCGCTGCAGGACATCTCTTCACGGAGATCCGACGTCGCGAACAAGTAAGTCGCGAGCAGGCCCCCAGATCCCATCTGCCTGCGTCCTGTTTCGAGGCCGAATCGAGCTGTGAGGAGCCATGGGCCCGACATTGAGCGAAAACGCCCGACCCGAAAGAACGGAGTTGCCAGGATCTCAGGGCCCAGACCCCCCGACGTGTCGTAACGTCGACCCCCATGGAGTTCTCGACCCAGTCCCCGGGACCGGCTTCCCATCCCGAGTCGTTCTTCGACGGTCCCGAGGCCTGCTGAGGGCCCCCAGGGGCTGCAAAAGAGAGGAAAACCGCCCGCCGCGACTTTTCGTCATGGCCCGACGGGTTCTGAGGGTCGGGCACCCCCCCTCGGGGCCTCCTTCCGCTAAGAGGGCCACGGCAGGGCACCCCGCGCGTTCAGGGCCGGGGCCGCCTCCTGCCCAGCGCCCGGCCTTCGAGCGCCGGCTGGTGTCGCACGCGGCCGCGGAGGTGGCGCTGGACTTTGGCGCGGGCGTGCGCGTCGTGGTCCGCCAGGACTGCTGTGAGGCCCCCCAGATGGGGTCCCAGACCCCCCATCGAGCCATGAAAAAATCACGACGGGAGGTTTTTCGTTATCTTCGGCCTTTGGGGGGCTCCTGCAGGGCCTCGGGACGGTCAAAAACGACGCTGGATGGAAAACCGGTCTCCAGGAATAGGTCGACATTTTTGGGGGTCGACGTCATGAAAAAATCATGACGGGTCTGGGACTCTAGGCCTCCTAGATTCTAGGGGTCGGAGGAGATGGGGTCGCAGGAGCGCGCCGCATCGCCGATGTATCGGCGATGCTGCTCGAGGTGGAGCCCGATCTGCTTCACGTCGACACGTCGGCGATGCATTGCCGACGTCGACGATGCATCGGCGTTGCATCGCCGATGCATCGCCGATGCGATGCATCGCCGATGTATTGGGGATGCGGCGCGATCCTCCGACCTGGAGGGTTTCTCCGAAGGGCTTCGGCGACCCGTTCTCAGGAAATGGCTCTGGCGACCCACACTCTCTTTCTGCAGCTGAGAAGGTATTTCGACCCCCCTCAGAGCAGCGCGTGAAAGGGACGATGCTGCAGGCGGGCTCCGTGGTTCTTCCCTTTTGTGGGGTCCCGCCGTCAGCCAGAGGCGTCCCCCAGCGAGGCTGCTAGGCAGGCTCTCCTTACAGCTCGAGCTTCACATATACAGCTTGTATGATATGGCGCTCTGTTCCCCTGTTCAGTCATGGAGCAGGTCATGGATCGAAAGTGTTCATTCATTCATTCATATTCATTCTTCCTCCTCCTCCTCCTTCTCCTCCCTCCTCCTCCTCCTCCTCCTCCTCCTCCTCCTCCTCCTCCTCCTCCTCCTCCTCCTCCTCCTCCTCCTCCACCTCCTCCCTCCATGTCCTCCTCCCCCTCCCCTCCCTCCTCCTCCTCCTTCTCCTTCCTCCTCCTCCTCCTCCTCCTTCCTCCTCCTCCTCCTCCTCCTTCCTCCTCCTCCTCCTCCTCCTCCTCTCCTCCTCCTCCTCCTCCTCCTCCACCTCCTCCTCCTCCTCCTCCCCCTCCTCCTCCTCCTCCCTCCTCCTCCTCCCCTCCTCCTCCCCTCCTCCTCCTCCTCCTCCCTCCTCCTCCTCCTCCTCCTTCCTCTCCTCCTCCTCCTCCTCCTCCTCCTCCTCCTCCTCCTCCTCCTCCCCCTCCTCCTCCTCCCCCTCCTCCTCCTCCTCCTGCTCCTCCTCCTTCCTCCTCCTCCGCCTCCTCCTCCTCCTCCTCCTTCTCCTCCTCCTCGGGTCGCCTTCGGCCCCGGGGGGAACCCGTGCACCTCTGCTCCGACCCCACCTGGGAGTCCTCGGAGGACCCCGGCGGCCGGCGCGTGGCCGACGCCTCCGCGCCCGCGAGCTGCCCCACGGAGCGCAGCACGCGCACGGGCGTGGTCCTCTGGGCCGTCGCCGTGCCCAGGCGTCGAAGGGCTTAGACGACCCCTCCTCCTCCTCCTGCTCCTCCTTCTCCTCCTTGTCCTCCTCCTCCTCCTTCTCCTTCTCCTCCTCCTCCTCCTCCTCCTCCTCCTCCCCCTCCTCCTCCGCCTCCTCCTCCTGCTCCTCCTCCTTCCTCCTCCTCCTCCTCCTCCTCCGCCTCCGGGTCGCCTTCGGCCCTGGGGGAAACCGTGCAGACATAGGGATCGGCCTGAACAGTGTTTTTTTCAGTGTTTGGGCTTTGTCTTCGTGTTCCTTCGCCTTGTCTTCGTTCCGCCTTCGCTGCAGAACGGAGTCCAAACGAAAGCGGTTTATGAAATCGCCAAACCACAGTGTAGGTCGAGCCCTGCGCCGAGCCCCAGAGGTCGGGGAAGTGAGCGGGGGGCAGGCCTTCTCAGAAGGCGGCGAGCTTCCCAGAAGCCTCGTGGCCTCTGGAGACGCCGCCTCCGTCTGCGGAGGAAGCTCCGAACACGTTTCGGAAGGCCGGACGCTTCCCGAGCCTTCTGAGGAAGCCCGCCCCCCCTGCCTTCCCGGACCCCCGACGTCATGATTTTTGTTTTATGACGCCGACCCCCACAAGCTATCGACCCATCCCCCCCCGAGATCCGACGTTGCACAAAAATGCAACCTCGCAACAAGTCACGCCGGTACCTCTGGACCCGCGATCCTCATGCGTCAGTTTTTCGAGCCGCATCGATCTGTGAGGGTCCCGGGCCCGAGCTCGAGCGACATCGCCCGGCTCGAACACATGGAGCCGCCAGGCTCTCGGGGCCCAGGTCTGGCACGGGCCCCCGCAGAGGCCCCGAACGCACACAGCGCACACGAGGCCTCCATCCCGCGGCGGTGTTGCTCCCCCCCGGCGCTCGGCAGAGGTCGTCTGGGACGCCGCCGTGGGGCTGGCCGCCCTGCTGGCCGAGGCGGCGCCGCGGCAGCCGCCCGGCCCCGCGCCCGGGGCGGGCCCGGCGGGGCCGGGCCGGCCGCGCCTGGGGCCCTGGCGCGCCCTGCTGGAGCTGGGCGCCGGCGGGCACGGGCTGTGCGGCGTCGCGGCGCTGCTGGCGGGCGCCTGCCAGGCTTCTTATCAGTGTCGTTCGACCCACCCCCATTCCCCCCCCTCATGCCCCTCGAGGCCCCCACCGAGGTGCCACCCCAGTTGGGGATACACCCCTGGAAACGCCCATACCCCCACCCAGGGTAGGGGGTTAGATCGGCCGGTGGGGCGCAGACCACGCCGCTGGGGACGGGGATCGGTTGAACGATGTTCACTGTAGGGGGGGAGCGGGAGAGGCCCCAGGCAGGCTCTCGCGTCGTGAGAGGAGAAGGATCAGGGCGGAGGGCTTGAGGCCCGTGCTCGGGTTCATGGGGGCCCTCGCCGTGCCCGGGGCCGTCAGAATATCGTAGCACCCCGCAGATGCGGATAACCCTGCACCCCCACCCGCCGGCCCTGCCCGCCTTGGTGATGCCTGAGGCCCCGCCGCCTTTAGGTAATTCGTCTTTGCGCGGCCCGCTCTGACTCGACTCGCCGTTTGCGCTTTCGCTTGCGGCTGCTGACTAAAAATACAGATGCGGATAAGAGTGAGGAGGCGGCGGGGACGTTGGCAGTTTGCGAGACTCTGGAGAAGCTCGCCGCAGGCACCGATTTTTTCGCTAAACCAGTGGGTCGCGGGTGGGTCGCGGATGGGTCGCTGATGGGCCGCGAGGTGGGTCGCGGGTGGGTCGCGGGGTGGGTCGCGGGTGGGTCGCGGGGTGGGTCGCGGGTGGGTCGCGGGTGGGTCGCGGGGTGGGTTTGCGGGTGGGTCTCGGGGTGGGTCGCGGGTGGGTCGCGGATGGGTCGCGGATGGGCCGCGAGGTGGGTCGCGGGTGGGTCGCGGGGTGGGTCGCGGGTGGGTCGCGGGTGGGTCGCGGGGTGGGTCGCGGTTGGGTCGCGGGGTGGGTCGCGGGTGAGTCGCGGGGTGGGTCGCGGGGTGGGTTGCGGGGTGGGTCGGGGGGTGGGTCGCGGGGTCGGTCTCGGGTGGGTCGCGGGTGGGACGACGACAACAGCAACAACAGCAACAACCACAACCACAACCACAACCACAACCACAACAACAACAACAACAACAACAACAACAACGCAACAAACATAATCGTCACCACACATTCCTTATTCAGCTACGCGCCCACGGACAATGAATGACCGTTCGGCCCCGTCACTCTGATCATATTCGGGATGGAGAACTGGTCCTGGGGAAAGGGTCGGACTTTCAGGGGGGGCGCATTGTTATAATCAGGACAGCGCATGTCTGGAGTACCAGGTTCGCATCGTGTCGACCGGCGGTGACACCGCCGCTGGCGTTCAACGTTGAGCACCACGAAATCGGATGTGATGTCGAACGATATGACGTTTTGGAATCGGCCGATCGTTCAAGGTTGAAGGATCCCCGTGGCGTCAGGAACCAGTGACGGGGTCGACACGACATGAACCCGCCGTACCGGTATGCACCCCTTCTCGTATTGGAGAGCCCCCGGCGCCACGGCCACATTCTCCCCGCATCTTTGGCCAGAGCGCACACCGCGAGAGGTCCGAGGCGTATGGTTGGACGATCGGCACCCTGTTGCTCCCCTGAGGTCGCCGTGCTGACCGACCGGCAGCCGTTGTTGGCGCAGCTCGAGGATCGACTCCCCGTGAGAGGGATCTTTCGCCCAAGGGACCTTGGGCGCGGGCTTACGGGGGTCCGCCCGATCGCTGAGCGCGATGTGAGAGCGGTTGCTTTCGAAGAAGACAAGAACGCTATAAACATGAACTTTCAGCGCTCCGCGCGGATTTCTTGGATCTGCGCTGAGCCCCCCCCCGGCGGCGCCTCCAGCGCCGCCACTAGCGCGCTCCGCGCGCCAGGGAAGGGGGTCCAGCGCAGATCCAAGAAACCCGCGCGGAGCGGCAAGAGTTCTTGGTTGTGGCGTTTTTTCTTTTATGCTTGCGCGCCTGGATTTGGCCACCTTGCACCCCCTTCGCTTGCGCACCGAAGGTCACTCTTGCCTGGGGTTACTATTTCAGGAAGGGGAAAAACACAGGCACAATGAATCGTCGATCGCCAGGAAAATATTGGAAACTATGGGCAGTGGGGGGAAAGACGAAGCGCAGGAAACTTGCGTAGGAGACGCTTGCCAGGACGCTGGGAAGCATGCCTGGGGAGCTTGCAAGCTTCGAGAAGAGAGCTTCCAAGGAGTTGCGAAGGACGTGCAGAAAGGCTTCAGGCACGCGCGTTGGCAACGCGTAGGAAAACACTAGTCTCGGGACCCGCTGCGAGGTCAAGGTGGCTGCTGCGAGGGTGCCTGACCGGGAGCCTTGGAGAGGAGCTGGCGTAGCCTTGCCTGCCGGCTTCTTACCTAACAGCCCTCTTGGCTCTTCAAGGAGCTGTCCGGAAGTCTATATATTCGTTTATATATATACATGTGTGTGTGTGTGTGTCCCTGGGCCCCTTTGCTCCCTGCGTGCGGCCGCGAGGAGAACGTCGCGCGGAACCTCGCGGAGCGGGCGCCGGCCGGCGGCGGCGCGGCGGAGCCGCGATGGGCCGTGCGCCCGCTGCTGTGGGGCGAGCCGGGCGGCCTGGAGGCCGCCGTGGCCGCGATTCCCCGCGGCGTTTCGTCGGGGAAGCGTAGCTTGGCATCGCACGGACGTGTGCATTTTTCCCCGGCGAGAACCATCGAGGATCATCCTGGACCATCGATCAACAAAAAAAAACACGCACACGAAACCGACAAATTTATACGGGAAGTGGACGTCCGAGCGACGGCAAGGTAGGACTCGAGTGAGCCGGAGCTCGGGTTCGCAGACGTTTTTTGACGAGCGCGTCCTGGATTTTGACGGCCCCGTCTTCGTGGGGCGTTTGCAGCGGGAGCCCGCTTCAAATCTCAGACTGGGTCTCGTCAGTTTCATGATGCCCCCCGTCAGGCCAACCCGAGTCCCCCGAACTCGAGACTTACGCTTCCCCGACTCCGGAGCCCGCGGGCGCGGCGTTCGACGTGCTGGTGGCCGCGGACTGCGTCTACGACACGGGCAGTCAGAGCCCCAAATCATTTGGGCTGGGGGCGGTCAGTCAGAGTAGGATTAAGTCGGGCCTGCCCCTCTACAGGAGGAATAATCAAAAATAGTCAAACAAGTCTGGGGACGATTTGTTTTTACTTTTTTTGCACGTGTTTGGAATAGTTTTGGTCTTTAATCCAACATCCGCCTGTAGGGGGACATGCCCGACATGAGAGTAGGAAGAGGTACCCATACCGCTGCCCTTCGCCCGCTTTTCCTCTTTATGCGGGCCTCTCTGGAGGCCCCCGTCGCCCCCGCTGGAATCGCCTTGAAATCCTGGTCCGAACGCGCCCCGGGAGAGCTCCGGGGAGTAATGGCGGTATCGTTTTTTTTTCTGGTTTCCCCAGTCAGGGCCCCGGACATTCAGAGCTGGGGGCGGTCAGGGACAGCTATGGGTTCGCGCCCGAGGGGCCCCCACTGGAATTGCCCTGGACCGCAGTTTCACCCCAGACAATGGAGGATGACGATTAATACATGACCGGGGGTCGTGATCACGCGGCGGCGCCCGGGATGACGATTAGAAAAAACCGGCCGCGGGCTGGAACACTTTTTTTTATCGTTCTCCTCCAGTCAGAACATGTTGCAGAAACAGCAGAAGGCTATTTTTTAATCGTTCCCTCCCATTTTTTTTATTCATCGTCATCCCGCATTAATTCGGGCGTCCTGCAGGCAGCGCCGAGGCCCTGGCGGGCACGCTGGGGGAGGCGCTGCGGCGTGGCGTGGGCGCCGAGGCGCTCGCCGCGTTCGACCGCGCCCTGGGCCGCGACGCGGCCTACGAGCGCTTCCTGCGGCGGTGCGCGGAGGCGGGCCTGGCCGCGGAGGAGCTGCCGCAGGCGCCGGGGCCGCACCAGGGCCGGCCGCGGTCGGTGGGTCGCGGCCCCTCAGGAGCGGTACATGGGCAGCAGTCACGCGGAGGGGGGGAGGGTAAAACGACGCGAAGATCGGGACAAAATCGGATCGGGATCACTCGGAATCTCTGAGAATCGGCGGGTTTGGAGGATGTACTGGGCGCCGCGGCCGCTCCAGAGCGTTCCGGAACGCTCTGAGAGCGCTCCGGAACGCTCTGGAGCGATTTATCCCGATCCTAGCCCTGTTTTAGTAAGGGGGAGGGGGGAGGGCCTCTCAGAAGCATCCGGCTTCTCAGAAGGCGCGGGCCTTCTCTGTAGAGGCGACGGCTCAGACCCCCTCGCTGTTGCTATGTTCGGGCTCGTGAGGGCCCTCGGCGGGCCCTGGGGCCGTCAAACCGCGACTCAGGACGAGAAGTTGGTCTCGGCGAGGGGGTCAAAACCGCCGCCACCTTCTGAGAAGGTCTTCTCCTTCTCACTTCCCCCCTTTCGCTCGCCGCCGAAGGCCGTCCGGTCGGCCAGAGAGCTCGGTGTGCAGACCCCACAGGTTCCCAGGCTCTGGGGTGCCGATGCGTCTGTGCACCGGATGATTTCGCCGAGCTCCTCTGCCTGTTGACCGTCCAGGCGACGTGGAGCTTCCGTGCAGCCCCTCCGACGACCTCGAGCTTCTTCAATCATCAGAGTGGTGATTTTCAGGAGGGGAAAAAACACACAGACACAATTAATCGTCGATCCCCAGGAAAATATGGGAAAATATGGGAAGTGGGGGGGAAGACAGAAACCCAACACATATAGGAAAATATGGGGAATGTTTTTATTTGTGTGTATTTATTTGTGTGTCCTGGGGCCCCTTCAGATTTCTCTCCGTAGTCGGCTTCTCAGAGGGGCCTCTCCGAGCCCCTCCTCGGGCACGGGGCCCGTCCAGTTAATGACCGTGGACGAGACACCAGTCTTCAGGAAGGCGTCGAGAGGTCCGTGGGGCCACCCTTGCATTTAGCTTGGCATCGCTCGGACGTGTGCATTTTTTCTCGGCGAGGGCCATCGAGGAGCATCCTTGATCATTTGGCAGAAAAATTTCGCTACTTCTGCCGCCCGTTGTCGCCCTGTTGCCGCTCAGCCTCCGTGCGCTGGGTGGCTCCGGCGAGGTTTCGCCACCGTGCCGCCCGCTGCCACCTCGTGAACTGCCGCCTCGTTGCCGCCTTGCGCGATGGGGGTGTCCAACCAGGTTTTGCACGTTGCCCCGCCTTTTGCCGCCTCGTTGTCGCCTCGTGCGCTGGGTGGGGCGAGGTTTCGCCACGCTGCTGCCCGTCGCCGACTCGTTGCCTGCAGCTGGCACCACATGTACTGAACCGCACAGCCTACAGCACGTAGCCTGCACCCCACAGGTGCCACATCCACGGTGCAACAACTGACTGTTTGGGATCCAGCATGAAGACATCCCATGAGCTCCCAAGCCATCGAACATCATGTTGTGATAGCTTTTGTATGCATTGTTTTGCCGATCGGCGCGGGCCCTCGCACGCTCTCCCCCTCCCTGGAGTAGATCTTGGCTCTTTTTGGCGCCTGTTCCACGCAGGTGGAGTCTCCCCCCTCCGATGCACTCATGCAAACAGTTGCATTAAGCTGAGGTCTGGAGCCAGACACCCCCCCTGCCCCCTCCCCCTTCCGCCCAATGTCGAAACGCCGGATAAGGAAACGCTCACTAGGGGAAACATAAAACTCGGAGGTCCGCGCGGATTTCTCGGATCGGCGCTGGACCAATCCCCTGGCGCGCGGAGCGCGCCGGGGGGGGCGCCAGAGGCGCCGCCAGGGGGCCCCAGCGCCGATCCGAGAAAAATCCGCGCAGACCTCCGAGGTCTCCTGTTGATGCCATTCCCCCCCCCGCGCCCCGCCCAATGTCGAAACGAGCACGCTCACCGCTCTGCAGGTCCGCAAGCGGATTCCTTGGGCTGGCGCTTGCCGCCCCCCCTGGCGGCGCCTCCGACGCCGCCCCCCCCCCCCCCCCGGGCGCGCCTCGCGCCCTCCAGGGGGAGGAGGGCCCGGCGCCGGGACGAGCTCGGGAGGGAGAAGACGCACAGACACAGGTCATCGCCGATCCCCAGGAAAACGCGGGGGAGAGCTGGCAGGTGGGGGGAGAGACGAGGTCCCGGAAGAGGTGGAAGCACATGGGGGAAGCCTGGGATCCGTGCACACCTGCCTGCGTGCCCCTGGGCGCCTTCGCAGCAAGAGAGCCGCGCGGACCTCCGACGGTTCATATGCTTCTGTCATGCTTCGTTCCTCCATGCAGCGTGCGCTCCAGGCCGCCCACACGGGGCTGGAGTGGTCGCGCGCCACGTCACCGGTGCATCGGGGGTACGGCTCCGTCTGGAGCCCGACCTTCTCCGTGCGGCTCCGTCTGTTCCGATCCCCGTTTGGGGCGGCCTCTGATGCTCGGAGCGCCAATGGGGATTTACCCATCGGTCGTCGAGCCCCAGCCTCCAATCTGCTCTGAGCGCCTTTCTACTTCAGTGGTCGAGTGGCTTCACCTCTTCCGTCCCCTTTCGGGGGCGGGCGGACACGCAATCTGCAGTGCCATTCTTTTTTATACATGCTCCGCGTGCGGATCATGTATTAGAAATGCAGGGATGTAGTATTCAAAGCAACGATGAGTTCATGCATACATTTATTCATACATCAATCATGTATTAAACATGTTATATATTTAAAACATCCAATGTATTGAAACATTGCCCTGTAGTTTCAATGTCTTTCTCCTTCCTGTTTCTACCTCCTTCTTCCAACCGTCGGGCAATCTAGTTTCAACGCCTTCCTCCTTCATGTTTCTACCCACTCTCGTTTCAACGCCCTCCTCCTTCCTGTTTCTGCCTCCTCCTTCCAACCGACGGGCATGGTGACCGCGCGATGCCGGGCCTCGGGGCGTCCGCCGAGCGTGCCTCGGTGCCACGGGGGGCCTCCGAGGCCCGAGCAGCACGGTGCGGCGACGGACCCTGCGAGGGCCTTCGGGAGCTCGAGGTCACCGCCCGGTCCGCCACCGCACTGTCCCATTCCGATTGCTGTGCCAAAGAGCTCTATAGCTCATCTGCAGCTCGAGTTAAGTCAAGAAACTCATCATCATCTCCAAAAAAATAACTAGAATACGAGCAGTTTCGCGGATCTAGCTCTAGTATCAGACCGAGTTCAGGCGTCTAGATTCTTTGGACTAGCGCAGCTGATGATTCCTAATAGAAAATCACGACGGCAGGTTTTTCGATGTTTTCCGCCTCTGGGGGCCTCTGCCGGGCCTCGGGACCATCAAAAAACGACTCGGGATGAAAAACCAGTCCGGGGGAATGGGTCCAGCCTCTGGGGCATGACAAAAATCACGACGGCAGGTTTTTCCATGTTTTCTGCCTCTGGGGGCCTCCTTACCAGGCCGCGGGACCGTCAAGAAACGACTCAGGATGAAAAACCGGTCCTGGGGAATGGGTCCAAACCTTTTGGGGTCGACGTCATGAACAAATCATGACGTCGGGGGTCTGGGGTTTTGGCACCCCGAGCAGCCCATACCCCCGAGGTCATGACTTTGTCACGACGTCGACCCCTAGAGGTATGGACCCGTTCCGAGGAACCGGCTTCTCGTCCCGGGTGGTTTCTCGCCGTCCCGAGGTCCGCCGAGGGCCTCTCGACTCGACTCGCGCCCCGTGCAGCCAAGGAGGCTGGCCCCGGTCAAGGGGGGAAGCGGCATGCCAGAGCGGTGCGGTGCCCCCGCCGAGCGGCGGGTGAGACAGGTAGCTCGCCCTCAGTGCTGGAGGCTCTTGAAATCACCTCTTTCAAGGCAGACCGGCAGTATCTGGCAAGGGCCCCCCCCCCGGAGGCAGAAAGAATGGAAAATCCTCCCGTCGTGTTTTTTTGCATGGCCCGAGGGGGCCCGGCAGATGTGCCCTCTGCCATCCCCTTTCTTCCCGTCCTTCGAAGAAGAAACATCGCCATAACCACTTCTTTTTTTTGATCGCGCTCCGTGCAGATTTCTTGGATCCGCACGGAGCCCCCCCGGTGGCGTCTCCGGCGCCGCCCCTGGCGCGACCTTCGGGTGCGAGCAGTACTTCTGTCCATATCCACTGCAGTATGGAGTTCTGGGCTCCCTTCCCCAGAAACCCGAGGCGCACTGGATATGGATAAATTTGCCCCCTAGAGGCTCGATTTTTATCCATGTCCAGTGCACCTCGGCCTTGTGGCGCCCCTTCCAAAAAAATCGAAGGCGCACTGGATATGGATATAAATCTTGCCCGCATCGGGGGCTGCCGTCCCGTCGACCGCGGCCGCCACGAGAAGGAGAGCGTCTCCATCTACCGGCTGCGGCGGCGCCCCTCGGAGCCCGCCGCGCCGGACGCCGCGCGGCCTTGAGGGCGCGGCGAGGCGGCGGTGCCCCTCTGGCGGGATCCGAGGCTGCTTGCGTCGGGAGCCTTGAGGAGGAGGAGGAGGAGGAGGAGGAGGAGGAGGAGGAGGAGGAGGAGGTCAGGACTCCAGAAACGGGGGTCCATTCCACCGGGGGTCAGCCAGAGCGCCAGATCTTGCAGGGCCAGTGGTGCGAGGGCTCCAGCGCGGATCCGAGAAATCCGCGCGAACTCCCGAGCCCTTCTGTTTTCATGACATTCTTCGTTCCCCGATGCACTGACCCGGGCTGGCGCGCAGGGCCCCGCAGGCAGGCCATCCCGCAGGATCTTTTTTGCAAAGCCTGGCTGGCCCGGGTTTGCACTGGTGGCCTGGGTCCGTCGATCTTTGATGGCCTCCTCGGACCACCGCGCCCTCGCGGGAGGAAAAGGTATCGGTATTGGAGCTTGTTTCTCGACTGCTTCGGGCATCATGGGCATTATAGCCGCCAGCCCCCCCTCGCCCGTCCCCTTATAATGTAACGCCCCTCCCCCCCCAGTGCGCTCCGGGCACTGCCGCCGTGCGCACGGCGGGGGGGAGGCGTTACTTTATATCCCCCCCTGGCCCCTCCCCCCCTATAATGACCGTTATCGCCGAACATGTTATAAACATACGCGCTCTTGCCGCTCCCCTCGCCTCGTGTTCGCCTTTTCGGGGGCCCGCTGAGGGGGGCCCTCATCGCCACCGCGGGGTTTAAGGTCGGGGATATCCCTCTACAGGAGGAGTAGTCAAAAATAGTCAAAGAACAGTCTGGGGACGGCTTTTCGACAATGTTTGGCTATGTTTGTGCATTTTTGGAATATTTGTTTTATTTTTCGTCCACAATCCGCCTGTAGGAGGACATGCCCGACCTGACGCTCTGTTCGTTTTGCGATCCTGGTCAGCACGCACTCGGGAAAGGTCCGGGGAGCAGCGGCATCGCTACAGTCAACCCGCAGAGTAAGGATAGGCATCCCTCCCAAGGGTACCCTTGCATCCTTGCTTCCTGGGTCCGTCCTTGGACACTTTCGTTGGCCGCGCCCCGCTCGGGAAGCTTCGAAAGGAGCGTCCAGGTCCCTTGCCTCCTTATCGCGCGCCCTTACTCTGCGGGTGGACTGTAATGACCTTGTCAGTCCGCCGTCCTCGGCCACCCCGGCCCGCCCTCCCCGCGCAGAAGAGAACTGCACGAGCAGAAACTGACACAAAGCTCAGCACGGCTGCGCTGGCTCTGCGCCGCGCGCCCCGCGGGCCGCGGGCCGGTTTAGGGGCGCTCGGCGCAGGTCCGGGAGCTCCGCGCGGAGCTCCGAGTGCGCTTCGGGCCTCGGTCCTCCTCGGCCTCTCCAGCCCTCCCTTTTTTTCACGAGCGGCGATCATGTCCATCTCCAGGCCCTCGCGGTCTGAATTCCGGGGCGCGATCCCATGGATACGCGATCGCAGAGATACGTTTCGTGCAGGGCATCCGCGCACGTACGCTCCACATCCGTGGGGTCGCGGCCCGGGGCACTGGCCCGCGAGGCCGCGTACATGGATGTGTCTTCCGCCCACGGCTTCTCCTCTCTCGTCCCTCCATCCTCGCCCGACCCTGCTCCCTCCTCCAACCCTGCTCCCTCCTCCTCCCTCGGCCTCCTCCGCCCCCTCGGCCTCCTTCCTCGGCCTCCTTCGCGGCGGCGGTCTTCCAGCGTCCGCCTCCTTCTCCTCCTCCTTCTCCCCTCCTCCGCCTCCTTCCCCTTCACTCCGCCTCCTCCTCCTCCTCCTCCTCCTCCTCCTCCTCCTCCAACTTGCCTTCGTACCATCAGTTTCCTCCCGTTGTCAGCATTTGCCACTGCACTTGAGGACAAGAAAGGGTGGTTTGCCTTGTTCCAGACAGTGGGTCCCCTCTTCCTTTCCCTTCCCTCAGTTCTGGGCGTCGCATTTGGCTCACTCTGGACGTTTGCGCTAAGTGTACGACCTGGGCACCTTCGAGCCTTTTCGCATGGGTTCGGCTCCGCAGAGAGGGGTGTGGTCCAGGGCTCAAGTCGTGATTTTCTAGGATGTTGTTGTTTCTTTCGTCATGTCGGATCTCAGGGTTCATCGTCCTCACCCTCCTCTTTTTCTTCCCCATCTTCCCTCCTCCCTCATCCCTCTTCCTCCACCACCTCCCGCCCGGTTCCTCTCCCCCGCGTCCTTGGTGTTCCCTCCCCAGCCCCCTCATCCTAATTTTCATCCGCCTGCCCCTTTCTCCGCCTGCTCCTGCTTCATCCCGGACGACGAACACGTCGAAGACGACATCTCAGACGACAACGATGTCGACGACGGCTCCAGCGCAGACTCGGACGTCCTCTTCTTCCTCCGACGACGGCGTCGCCGACGCTGCCACTTCGACGAAACTGGATACGACGAAGACGACGCTGACGACGACTTCACCAACGACGACCGCGACGAGGGCGACGGCTGCTTCGGTGGCGGCGGCCGCGGCGCCGAGGACCTCCACAGGCCGCCGAGGGCCTCCGAGGGCCGCCGAGGATCCCGACGCCGAGGCCAGCGGCAGCGGCGGCGGCGCGGACTCGACGCCGACGCCGACGCCCGCCGCACCAGGCACTGCGGACTGGGGCCCCCCTTGCGGCCCTCCTTTGTAGCGCCCGGCCGCGGCCGATGGCCGAGGGTGCCGTTGCGCCCGCGGCCGGAGCCGCGGGCGAGCGGGAGGACGCTCGTTTGGTTGCCGTGGGGGGGGGGGCGGGGCTCGGGGTCCGAGGCTCGAGGATCATGGGTGGAGGGTTGAAGGGCAGGGGCTGCCAATGGCATCGGTTGATAAACGGTGGGCTTGGTTGCCCGCGGGATGTCTGGCGCAACCTGAGCTGTGGCACATGCGCTGGGGCGACGGGCGATTTGGTCGCCCGCGGGGAGGCTGGCGCGACCGATGGCGCAGCCTACCATCGCACACCCACGGGGGCAGTGGTCGATTTGGTTGCCCGCGGGGTGCCTGGCGCATCCAGTGGCGCAACCTGCGGCACACCCGTTGGAGCAAAACGGACGGTGCGGCTGCCCACGGTGGGTCTAGCGCAGTTTAAGATGCAAGTTGATTTCGGCACGCCCGCTGCGGCAACGGACGTCGTGGTTGCCCGCCGGGGGTCTGGCGTCACCTGAGGCGCAAGCTGTGATGCGCCTACCTAAGTAACGGGAGGTGGGGATGCCCGGCAGGATGTCTGCCGCTGGTGACCCCCATAAACAGCCCATTTTGCAAGGGTTCCGTACGACATGAGAAGGTATACACATTGAGGCAGCGCTCGATTTGGTTGCCCACAGTGTCACTGCCGCAGCTTATGGCGCAATACATGGCACAACCTTTGGGGCAACACTTGATGTGGTTGCCCGCGGCGTGCTTGGTGCAACTGGTGTTCCAATCCTGGGCGTTGGGGTGTGTTGTTTGGTTGTCGGTTGTCCATTGGTTATCTTGTTGTTACACGTGTATGCGCATGGCAAAATCAGTTCTCGCCCCCAAGCTGGGAGAAGAGGGATGCATGGATAAGAAGAGGGATCACTGGAATATTATAACGGAGGATGAGGAGGAACAGAGCAGAGCAGGACGAAGGGCCTTTTGACCATCGCCCCCCTCTGCTCAATCGTATACTTCTGCTCCTCCTCATCGACCTCTTCGTCCTTTTCCTCCTCCTCCTCCTTCTCCTCCTCCTCCTTCTCCTCCTCCTTCTCTCTCTTCCTCCTATCTCCTCTTCCTCCTCCTCCTCCTCCTCCTCCGCCTCCTCCTTCCCCTTTCCTCCTCCTCCTCCTCCTCCTCCTCCTCCTCCTCCTCCTCCTCCTCCTCCTCCTCCTCCTCCTCTCTCCTGGCTCGGAGCTCCCCTGCAGCCCGCTCGGGCTTCTTTGTTGTTCAGGGGTTCGGTGATGCCCGCGCACCCGTGTGTATATATCCGTAAGGGCGTCGGCCCCTGCCGCCGGCCCCCTCTCTATCATAATGGGGTATATCAGAGTCGCGTCAGTGCGTCTCGGCGTTGCCTTGGCGCAGGTGGGAACATCATGCGGGGGCGGATGGGAATCATCAGCGCATGTTGAGACGTTGACGCTCTCCTAGTAGCCTTCGGCTCATCTCGCCACCTTGCCTTGCTTGTGGGTCTGAGGCCTCTTGCAGAAGTGTTGGGGTGGCGTGGGGAGCCTCTCAGGGGCTTCTTGGAGGCGGTTCGGGCGCCTCTTGGTGGCCTTTGCCTAGTGGGGTATCTTGTGGGCCTCTTGGAGGCCTCTTGGGCGCCTCTTGCTGCCTCTTGTGGCCTTCTGGTTGCCTTTTTGGGCCTCCTGGGGGCTTCTCGGGGCACGCATGTATAAGATGCTCGGTTCGTGGTCCCCGGATGTGGCCCCTCTTGGGGCCGTCTTGGGGTCCTCTTGGGCCGTCTTGAGCGTTTCTGGGGCACTCTTGGAGCCCTCTTGGAGGCCTCTTGGGCTGTCTTGGGACGGGCTTGGGAGCCTCTTGAGACGTCTTGGAGCGTCGGGAAGCCGAACATGCGAGAACGGCAGCATCCTTCGAAAACCGGAGTCACAACTAGGAGTTTGGCATCTTGGGGCTTTCTCGGGAGGCTCCTTGGAGCGCTCTTGGGGCCGCTTGGGGCCCTCTTGGGCCGTCGTGGAGCCATCTTCGGGCGCATTCGAGCACTCTTCGCCTCGGGAATGCGAATATGGCGTGAGTTGCGAGGGTATATGGTCTCGGGGACGCGATCCTTGCATAATTTGCTATGGTTTGTTGCCTCGGGGACGCAAGACGTACTGTAATTTTCAAAGGTTACTGGCCTCGAGGGCGCGAATCTCAAGTATGTTTCGTGTCCCACGCGCCACCCCGGGAGTTCTGGCAACGCGATCTGGGCGTGGTAAATTGCCGGTTTGGTGCTCTCCCCCCTCGCGCGGACTTCAACAATTTACAAGGGGAGACAGGAAGCAGGACTGTAACATTGAATACTTGAAATTACAACTAGTGCAGGGAGCAACATCTTCGGCCTACAGCCTGGTGGCCCCACCAAGGGGGCCGGCGGATATGTATAAAGAGGTCAGTCCCCACCTGTTTGGGACACTCTCGGGTCCTTGCCAGTCTGTCGGTCCAGCCCTGGCCAATCCATTATGTCCCCGTGGACAGCGAGTGTCGCGAGGGATCTTGAAAATGTGGCCAGGGGGACCAGCTCGTGATTCCATGGCTCGGTTTGCAGATTGCAATGCATTGCGCAGGTGGGCAGAGCGGACCCCTGGTGCGGGGCTTTTGGCGTAACCGCTGCGGCATGGAGCCCGAGGCGGCCAGCTCGCGATTCCGTGCTGCGGGCCGTCTGGCGCAACCAGCGGCGCAAGGTGTACGCATCCGATCCGTTTGCGACTCTTCAGTGCGGGACGTTCGGCGCTACCTTCCAAGTCGATGGTTACCTCCCGCAGCGGGCGCCCCCTTCCCCCCTTCGTATCCTGTGCCTGGTTTGCGATTCCGCGTCCCAGGGTGCCCCCCCGGACGGCGCTGGGAGTCCGCCATCGCTGCGACCGAAAAGGGTTCTGCGCAATATATGTCGCGGAACCTGTGGCGCAGGGGAGCACAACGGGGACCTAACCTCTCGATGTTGTGGTGCTCGGGCCGGCTGGGGCAGCCCCTGGCGCACACTTGCGGCGCCGACGGGGCGCAGGGGCCAGCTCGTGACTCCGTGTCGCGGTGTATAGTGGAGACCCATGCCAAGAAGCACCCTTCGGATGGTTTCGCGATGGAAGGCGTGACATTCCCACACCAAAAATCCATGGACGTCCTGGGGTCTCAGGGTGTGGGTTTCTTGTGGAAGGTTTCTTGTGTACTGGCCTTCACTCTAGCTGGCCCAGGTTCTGGTGCCACTGGCGGCGCAGGGGCACACGGCAGACCAGGGCGTTACTTCGAGATTCGATGTGCTTGGCGCCCCCCGTGGCGCAACCTTTGGCGCAACTATTTCCGCAAGCCTTGCGGTGCGGTGTCGTGTCGTGTCGTGCCGTATCCCCGGCAGGCATATATGTTCAGGGTGACTTTGGTGGGTCGGAACACGTGAACTTTCCACCTCCATATTTCCCAGCCTCTCCTCAGGAAAAGGCGGGCGGGCAGAACGACCAGGATATGCGTGGTTATGAGGAACACCAAAACAAGACGACGCGGACGGGGACGCGGACGAGGAGGAGGAGGAGGAGGAGGAGGAGGGGGAGGGGGAGGAGGAGGAGGAGGAGGAGGAGGAGGAGGAGGAGGAGGAGGAGGAGGAGGAGGAGGAGGAGGACGAGCAGGAGGAGCAGGAGGAGGAGGAGGAGGAACACACGCAGAATGAGGCGGAGGACCACCAAGGGCTGGAGGTGCGGGAAAGTTGCGGGGGGGGGGGGGGGCGTTGCCGTGGTCTTGGTTGAGGGTGTTCGGACATCGCCCCGAACACGCCGTTGCCACCCTAACCCGTTTTGCTTCGGCTTATGATTAGGTCGTGCCTGTCCCTCTACAGGGGAATCCAAAAATAGTCAAAAAATAGTCGGGGTTGTTTTTTTTTGAGCATTTGGGAGTATTTTTTCCTATTTTTAATTTTTCGTTGATAATCCCCCTGTAGGGACACGCCCGACTTAAGCTTATGAGCGGGATGATATTAAAAGCAGCTGCATCGCAGGGCCTGCTTGACTAGTCCAAGCGGCAAAGCGAACGCCAAGGGCACCTGTTTCCGAAAAAATCAGCTCACAGGGAGAGAGAGAGAGAGAGAGAGAGAGAGCGAGAGAAAGACAGAAAGAAAGAGAGAGAGAGAGGAAGAGAGAGAGTGTGTGCGCGTGTGTGCCAATCCGTCGCGGCACGTGTCCGAGGCGCATTGGCAAAACGGAAGACGAGTGTTTGCATCGTCCCGCAGGTTTCACTGCCGTGGAGAGCAGTGCAGCGTGCAGGCAGAGGGGCGGGCGGAGGGACGAGGTCAGGGCGGACGAGCCCCACGCTGCTGTGGAGCAGTGCGGCAGCTCAGGGCGGGCAGGTGATCGTCTTTTTATTCATTGTTTTGCCGATTGGCGCGGGCCCTCGCACCCCCCCTCCGCCCCCCCCCCCCCTGGAGTTGATCTTGGCCGTTTTTGGGCGCCTGTTTCGAGCAGGTGGAGTCCCTCCCCCATGGGACGCACTGTCGCAAACAGTCGCACTGAGCAGAGGTCCGGAGCCAGACCCCCCCCCTCTTCGCTCAATGTCGAAACGCCGAATAAATAAACGTTCGCCAGAGGAGACGAGTCGTGCTAAAAATGCGGGCCTGCCGAAGGAAGATGCCCCGTGCGCGGACGGCTCGGAGTGCCGCGACGGCGCCGAGGAGGCGGACGCCTGGGGAGAGGGTCGTCTTTCTCCTGGTCACGATCGGCGCCTGCTTCTGCGTCCGGAGGAGCAGCCAGAGGGCTCTCTGATTGTTTGACGTTCAGGCTTGTGTGTGTATGTTTCCCGTCGACCTGCTGTCTGCACTCCCGTCGGCCTGCCTGTTTTGTAGTCCGCCCCCGCTCGTCCCCTGTGCCAGCTGCCCCCCCCTTCGTGAGTCCCTGCGCGGCGCGGCTCCCTCCCGGCGGGTGCGCCCTGCACCGCCCAGCTCGGTGGCTGCGCGAGGGCCCGCCCCCTGCGCTCGCCCAGACTCCGCCTGGCTTGGCCGCGTCGCTGCGCGCGCGGCCGGGGCGCTGTGTGTGTGTGCGCGTGTGTGTGTGCGCGCGTGTGTGCGTATTGTTTCGTCACGCCTCGTCACGAGGAAGTTAATTAATGGCTTGGACCGTAGCCCGCCACTGCAACTGCCCGCCGACGGGGCCCGTTTGGCGCGTCGGAGGCAAGGTGTGTGCTTGCGTGCCTGTGCAGGTCTGTGGGCGTGTCCTCGTTTCCCCGACTGCGGCGTATGCTGCCAGGTGCCAGTGTCCAGTATGTGGCCGTCTGCACATGCGTGATCTGTGTCGTTGTCCTCCAAAGATGTAACTGCTTAGAGGTAGTGCGCTTTCACTGCTGGCGCCAGCGGGGACTTCGACCGAGCACCTCTTGGACGTCTCCTCGGGGCCTTTTAGGCCCTCGGGAAGCTTTTGGGGTCCTCGTCGGACCACTTGGGGGCCTCTTGCGTGTGTCGGGGTCCGCTTCTCATGGGCGGGACCGGGGGCGTGCCAACGTCGCCCAGATCTGGTGCCCCGCAGGGGCTGGAGGGTCTCGTGTACCTGGCCTTCGCCCCTGCGAGTTTCGCCGGCGCCGAGAAGGTGTCGTGCCTGGGCACGTGTCTGCCCGTGTCTGCCCTGCCTTCGGACATGGCGAGCGGCTGGGGCCAGGCCCCGCCTGTCCTCGGCGTTGCCTGCTCAGGCTCTTTGGCTACGGAGGCCCCTCAGGAGAAGACCCGCGAGGCGCGGGCGCGGGGTGGGCGCCGATGGAGAGCCCTCACGGGACGGACAGAGCCAAGGAGACGCCGCCACCATGCGTCGTGGTCGCTGGCGTCCACAGCGGCGTTGGCAAGACCTCGGTGGCAGTGGGGCTCATGGTTGCGCTGCGGCGTCGCGGCCTCCGCGTGCAGCCCTTCAAGGTGGGGCCCGACTTCCTCGACCCCATGCACCACGCCGCCGCCTGCGAGACGCCCTCTGTGAACCTGGACGGCTGGATGCTGGGCAGGGCCGGCTGCGAGGCCGCCTTCCGTGAGGCCTGCGGGCGGAGCGGCGCGGACGTGGCCGTGGTGGAGGGCGTCATGGGCCTGCACGACGGCCTGGACGGCGCGAGCGAGGCGGGCAGCACGGCGGAGGTAGCCAAGTGGCTCGGGGCGCCAGTGCTGCTGGTGGTGGACGCGTGGTGCCTCTCCCGCAGCGCCGCGGCGATGGTGCTCGGCTACGCGGCCTTCGACCCCGACGTGCCCGTGGCGGGCGTGGTCTTCAACCGGGTGGCGGGCGACTCCCACGCGGAGTGGCTGCGGCAGGCCATGCGCTTCGCGCCGGCCGTGGCGCACCTGCCGGTGCTGGGGTGCCTGCCGAGGGACGCGGGCGTGGAGGCCTCGGAGCGGCACCTGGGCCTCACGATGCCGGGCGAGCCTGGCGCGCTGCGGCTGGAGGCGCTCGGCGCCCTAATCTCGGGCCACATGGAGGTGGAGGCCCTGCTGCGCCTCGCCAGGGCGCCCTTGCGCCAGGCGTCACGAGGGACGCTTGGCCAGGGCGGCGGGCCCCTCCGCGCCGCCGGGGCGCCGGGAGCCGCAGGGGAGCGGCTGCCACCAGTCCGGGTCGGCGTCGCGAGGGACGAGGCGTTCTGCTTCTACTACGAGGACAACCTGCAGCTGCTCCAGGAGGCAGGGGCAGAGCTGGTGCCGTTCTCGCCACTGGTAGACCCTGCCCTGCCGCCAGACCTGCAGGCGCTCTACTTCGGGGGCGGCTATCCGGAGCTCCACGGCGCACGGCTCGAAGGCAACGCTGGGTTCCGCGAGTCGGTGCGCGGCTTCTGCGAGGCTGGGGGCCTATGCTGGGCAGAGTGCGGGGGCTTGATGTACCTCTCGAGGGCGATGACCGTGCGCGCGAAGGACGACCCGAGCACCGCGGGCGGCCCCCGTCTCTTTCAGATGGTTGGCGTTCTTCCTTTCGACGTGGCCATGACTGACCGCATGGCGATGGGCTACTGCACCGCGCGTCCGACACCTGCGCTCGCCGCGCTGCTGCGGCTGCCGCCTGGGACTGAGCTCCGGTGCCAGCAGTACCATTTCTCGGAGGTGACCTTAGATGGGCAGCCGGCGGAGCTGGTGGACAGACAAGGCCGCGGCCTGGGGCTGCGCGGTGTGGAGCTGGCCGCTTACCAGGCGCGCATGGAGCGCCCGGGCGCGGCGTTCGCGCCTGAGGGAGCCATGTGCCGCTCCACGGTGGCATCGTATTGCCACGTCCACTTCAGGGCCGCCCCTGGCCTGGCGGAGGCGATCGTCGCGGCCGCGCGGCGCCGCCTGGCGGTCGTCTCCCTGTTGCCGAGCGGCACCGAGGCGCTGTGCGCCATCCCGGGAGCCGTGGGGCGTCTGGTCGCCGTCAGCGCGCACTGCGACTACCCCCCAGAGGTGCTCCAGCTGCACAGGGCCACTCGGAGCCTGGTGGCAGCCGACGGCCGCAGCTCTGTGGAGGTCGAAGCGGAGGTGCAGAGGCTGCTCTCCGAGGGCGTCACCGACTTCCACCCCGTGGACACCGACTGGCTCCGCGCGGCCCGCCCGGGTGTCGTTCTCACGCAGGACGGCTGCCCCACGTGTGACGCGAGCGCCTCGGCCCTCGCCGGCGCGCTCGCCTGTGCGGGCCTTGGGCACCAGAGAGCGCTGGCGGTGGGCGCCACCACCGTCCAGGGGGCCCTGGCGTCGCTGGAGGTGATCGGCCGTGCCATCGGAGAGTTCGACGCCGCAGCCTCGGCCAGGCGCGCACTGGAGCGCCGCCTGGACCGCGTGGCCCTGGCTGTGGAGGGCAGGTGCAGGCCGCGGGTGCTGGGCCTGGAGAGCGTCTGCCCCCTGGTCGCCTCGGGGCTGTGGCTGCCAGACATGCGGTCGCGCGCGGGCGCCGAGGACGCCCTCGGCGACGAGCCGGGCGCGCAGCCTCGGCGACTCCGCTGGGAGGACGTAGCGGGCTGCGCTGCGGACGTGCTCGTGGTGTCCTGCTGTGGTCGGAGTGCGGCCGAGGCGGCGCACGACGTGGAGGCTCACCTTGCGCCCCAGCCAGGTTTCTGGCAGCTGCCGGCAGTTCGGCGAGACCCGCCCAGGGTTTACGTGGTGGACCACGCGCTTTTCTCTCGCCCAGGGCCCCGGCTCGTGGACGGCATCGAGCAGCTAGCGGAGCTGATCCATCCCGGCAGCCAGCCCAGGTCCGCGGCGCGTGGCGCGCTTCGGTTGCGCAGCAAGGCTGAAGGCCAAGGGGCGCGCATCGAGTGGGAGCTCGTGTGCCCGCGTCTGGTCACAGACTGTGCAGGGGCGAACGTCACCAGCAGTGGGCCTTGGCTCAGAGTCGAGAGCGTGTCGGGTTACGCGCCAGAGAGCGCGGCGCGTGCAGTTCTAAAAGGTCGTGGCGGTGACGAGCTTTTGTTGCCAGAGCTGGCAGGACCTCGGTTCGGTGATGTCTGGCTAGCCCAGTTCGCGGACGGCGAGACGAGCTGGGAACAGCTGGCGTGCTCAAAGGTCAATGGTGAGGACGTTCCCACTCCGAGGACTCGACATGCCGCTGCCAGGTGGGGCGACATCCTCATGGTGTTCGGCGGTTGTTCTGCCAGCAGCGGCGTCCCCCTGGCGCAGCTGGAGCTCTTGCACCTGGGGACGCTCTGCTGGACTCACGGGAGCACCACTGGGCAAGAGCCCTCGCCGCGCGCAGACCCCACGTTGGTGGTCGACGAGGCAGGGGGCTGCGCGGTGCTCTTCGGCGGCTGGGACGGCGCCGAGCACTTGGCGGACGTGCATGCCTTGGACCTGAGATCCTGGTGCTGGGAGCGCGTGCAGTGCGACGCCGGGCCCAGCCCGCGCGTGCTCCACGCCGCCTGCGCGTGGGCTGGCCAGGGGATGCTCGTGCACGGCGGCCGCTCGGCCGGCGGGGAGCTCCTGGGAGACCTGTGGCTCCTGGCCTGGGGCGGGCCCGCCGCGCCGTGGGCCTGGGAGCAGCTCTCCGCGGGAGACCCGGCCGTCCTGGGCCCCCGCTGCGCCCACGCGGCCGCGGCGGTCGGGGACGCCCTGCTGGCCGCGGGCGGCGACGAGGGCGGCGGCCCGGGGGCGGGCTGCGGCCTCTTCCTGCTGCGGCCGCGGCGGTGGCTGCCGGCCCCCGCGCTGTGCCGGCCGGCGGCGGGGCACGGCCTGGCGGTCCTGGACAGCGGCGCGCTGGTCTGGGGCGGCAGCGGCGGCGCCGCCGAGGCGCTCCTGCTGCCCCACCACGGGCTGTGGGCAGCTGCTGGGCGTGAGGCCCCGGCCCCAGCCCTGCGCCGGAGGAGAAACAGCGCCACTGAGCAGAAACTTGTGGCGCTCCGCGCGGACTTCTTGGATCCGTGCTGGGGCCGCCCCTGGCGGCGCCGCCAGCGCCGCCCCTGGCGCGCTCCGCGCGCCAGGGAGGTGGGTCCAGCGCAGGTCCAAGAAATCCGCGCGGAGCGCCAGAAGTTAATGCTCATGGCGTCGTCTCTGCTTTTTACTTCGGGCCCTGGCGCCGAGTGGCGCGGCGCCTTCCCCCTGCTGTGGCACGCCTGCGTGGGACGACTCTGCGCCCCTGTCGCTGGAGGACGTCCGGGAGAGCGCGGAGGCTGGCGACCCCAAGGCGGTGCAGGCGCTGGCGGGCCTGAAGCGCGCAGCGCCCGAGCGGAGGCCGCAGGCCACGTGGGCCATGCTGCACCGCGTGACCACCTCGCAGGGTCGGCTGCAGTACGTGGACCCGGCGAGCGGCTACCACGTGTTCACGGCGACCTACCTCAGGGGGCGGCCGTGCTGCGGCTTCGGCTGCAGGCACTGTCCGTACGGGCACGAGAACGTGAGAAAGGGGCAGCTGGCGGAGGTCGTCGCAGATTGGTGATGGCGTTGCCGCCTGCCGCGTGCACACGCGCCTCCCGTTGTTGACGACAGTCGAAGTTGTTATTCTTTGCTGGCGGCCAGCGCGGTGAGGCCCCACGGGCTCGGAAGCCCACAGGCTCAGATCCCTGGCTCGCGCAGACGCCAACCTATGTACATCGATGTTCTGCATATTTGCAGGGTGTCGGCGCTTCGGTGCAGATCGTGCGAGCAGCCCGGTCGAGACCTGGCACGGAGGTCGCCGTCGCCCCACCCCAGGCCAGGATTCGCGCGCCTTCGCTCGTGCCAGCCTTTTTGTGTGCGGCTAGAGGCTCATCCCGATCGCCGTGCTGCTGCTTAGTTCAAGCACGGCCGAGCGGATGTGGGCCGCAACGAGGCGCGCGTGGAGGTGGGCGAGCGCAGTCAGAGTGCAGCCCGGACGCTGGAGCACGGACCATTTTGGCTCTGGAAGGATCTCGGGATTCTCTGACCAGGTCCTTCCTGTTGTTCTTCTCTGAATTCCTCTTCAGGTCTTTCCCCATGTATGGCTTCTTATTGTTGGACTTTGGCTGTTCAGCATCTCGAGTGTGTCTTCCCGCAGTCGCGCCTGTCCGGAGGATCATGCTTTCCACCAGAGGCGTTGTTGATGATCATGATGCTAATGATGATGAGGAGGAGGAGGAGGAGGAGGAGGAGGATGAGGATGAGGATGATGATGATGAGGAGGAGGAGGAGGAAGATGAGGATGAGGATGAGGATGAGGACGATGATGATGATGATGATGATGATGATGATGATGATGATGATGATGATGATGATGATGATGATGATGATGATGATGATGATGATGATGTTGATGATGATGATGATGATGATGATGGTGGTGGTGGTGCTGATGCTGATGCTGATGCTGATGCTGATGCTGATGCTGATGATGTTGATGATGCTGATGATGATGATGATAATGATGATGCTGATGCTGATGATGATAGTGATGAGGAGGAGGAGGAGGAGGAGGAGGAGGAGGATGAAGATGAGGAAGACGAAGAGGAAGAGGAAGGGAAAGGTGTTCACATGAGACACCTTTTGTCTTCACAGCTTAAGGAGCTCTTATGGAACTCCTGTGAGGCAGTCTTCGGGGTCCCTTGGGCTCTCTTGGGCCGTCTCGGGGCCATCTCACGGCTCTCTTGGGCCGTCTTGCGGTCCTCCTTTTTGGCCGTACGGTGGGTGTTTGTGGGTCGTCTTGGAGCCTTTTTGGCGCCGTCTTGGGCCGTCGAAGGCCGTCTTGGGTCCCTTGCGAGGCCCTCTTGGGCCGTCTCAGGACCGTCTTGGATGCTTGTTGGACCATCGTGGCGTCCTCGTTGGCCGTCTTGGGGCCATCGTGGAGACTTCTTCGGCCGTCTTGAGCTGACTGAAGCCCGGACTGAAGCCCGAGAAGGCGAGAATGCGAAACTCCTTCAAATGCCCATGGGACATCAATGATGTTGGTTCTCCAGACCTTGTTGAAGTTCTTTTTGTGGCCCTCTGGGACCTAAGGCATCTTGGACCGTGGCCATCGTGGGCCTTCTTCGAGGCATCTTGGGCCATCTTGGTGTGTTTGGTTGCCTGTATGGGCCATCTTAGAAGTTCGGGATGCGGACGCATCGTTTTTTTGAACGAGGGCTCGTGGCCTTGGGAGCCAGATCCATCGTTTCTTCCGAGGAAGCTGGCCTCGGCAGGGAAGGGCACCGCACGCGGGGGGGGCGCGGCTAGTCGGGAGGTGTCCCGCATCAGAATACAGAAACCCAGCCAGGCAGAGTTGGGCATTCTACCATGCCTCAATGTTCAGGCGATCACAACCTTGGATCAAGGGGGCGTGGATTAGCGACGGTCTCCGTTTCCATGGGGAATCGCGGATTTCCGCCGCCGAACGGCGGCACCGGCCGTACTTTGGGGAGGGCACTTCCCCCGATCCAGGCATGTTTGCGCGCCCCCGAAATGTGCCAGGGGTCACGGTGGTGGATCGATGTCGCCTCTGGCGAGTCATTGCCCCCTTGTGGCCGAAGAGAGGGCCTTCTTTGGGGCTTCCTTCTACGAGGCTCTCTGCCAGTCGTTAGGGACGGCCTTGGATGCTCTCTTGGGCCGTACGTTGGGCCTGTTTGTCATATTGGTGGCCCCTGTGGACCGTCCTGGGGCTCGGGGCTCGTCTGCGCTGTCTTAGGGCTATCTTGAGGCCTCTGGGGCGCTATTGGGCCCTGTCGGGGCCCTCTTGCTGCCGTCCTGGGCCCTCTTGGAGCCACCGTGGGGTCTTCCTGGGAGTTGTGCCGCGCTATTGCCGGGGTATGTGCGTGCACGCTTGTTTCCGTCATCGCTTTGGTTCAAGCAGCGTTGTCGTTCACGTTGTCGATTCGATGTCCAGGGATTTGTTATTCTTGGTTGTGTGCGCATTTGTTGTGCGGGGCATGTCGTTTGCCGCCAAGAAGGTGAAGGTTGAGATGGTGGCCGACGTGGTGTGCCCTTATTGCTACATTGGCTACAAGCACTTGTTGGACGCTGTGAAAGAGGCGCAGTCTCGCAACCTCCCTGTTGATGTCGAGGTCTCGTATACCCCTTTCATATTGCGCCGGCATCTGCCGAAAGAAGGCGTTGACAAGCTGTCGGTTTTCAAACAGAAGTTTGGGGGCAACGAGGACCACGCCAGACGTATGCTCGACGGGGTTAAGGAGAGTGCAACGGCTGCTGGACTGTGCATGAATCTCGAGGGACAGCGGGCAGGAAATTCTGAGGATGCCCATAGGCTCCTCCTGTGGGCCAAAAGTTTCGGGAAAGACATGGAGCTGTTCGAATCCATGGTGAAGGCCTACAACTGCGAGCAGGGTTGGCTCGGGGACCACGAGGTCCTGGCCAGATGTGCAGCAGCGTCAGACCTGTCCGAGGATGAGGCGAGGAAGGTGCTGAAAGACCCGACGTCATCACTGGAGGTCTTGGAGGCCGGTCTGAAGCGCTCGGAGCGCTTGGGTGTGTCGGGGGTTCCGTTCTTCGTCGTGGACGATCGCCAGACGGTGCCTGGGGCGGTCCCATCGGAGCATTTCCTACAATACTTTGAGCATATTGCCAGCGGGCGCACAGAGACTTAGCATTGCTGATCTTCGAGATCTTCTCGAGCACTGCCAGGGAGTTGGCGTGCCCGGCTCTCCAGCCCAGCGCTCCATGGCACCAATCGTGGTCCGTGTTTCCACAGACGCTTCTACAGGGGGCGGATTAATTTTCAGACGTTGGCGTCCTCAGCGCGAGATGGGCGCAGCTGCTGCGGTTCACGCTTGATGGTCACGGTCTCGCGCTAGATTCCATCACAGAGTTGAGATGCGACAGATTTTCGCATCACAGTTTTCGAGTTCTAGAGGATGTTTGTTGTACATGATGTTAACCAGCTTGGACCCCTCAAACTGGTTCTCTAGCAGACTGCGTTGTGCAATCTAGGTGGAGCAATCTATGTTGTGCAATCTACGACGTGGTGCGATATACGTTGTTCCGTATGTTGCGCAAACCATGTATGTTGTGCAACATGTGCGGAGCAATGAATTTCGTGTTTGTGCAATCTGTGTGAGTAGTCTATGTGGTGCAGTCGATGTGGTACAGTATATGGGGCAGGCATATAAAGACAGTATCTATGCACGTGTCAAGCCAAGCAATGCAATGCAAAGTGATGCACATCAAGGCAAAGCAACGCACTACAACGCAATTCAAGCCGAAGCATTACAATGCAAAATCAATGGCAAAGCAACGCACTGCAAAGCAATGCAATGCAAGGCAAACCAACGCAACGCAATGCACACCAATGAGAAGCATGGCAAAGCAACGCAATGCGACGCATGGCAATGCAAAGCAAGGCCGCGCAATGCAATGCAAATTGATGCAACGCGATTTAGAGCATCGCGATGTAACGCAACGCGATGCATTGCAAAGCGAAGCAAAGCGTCGCAAAGCAAAGCAAAACAAAGCAATGCACAGCAATGCCAAGCAATCCCAAGCAATGCAAAGCAGTATAAGGCAATGCAAAGCAATGCAATGCACAGCAACGCAACGCAAAATATGTTGGGCAGTATAACGGCCGCGGCGAGCGGTGACGGGGCGGCGACGGCCGGTGACGCGGCGGCGACAGGGCGGCGACGGCAACTACATAGCCGCCAGACCGACCTTCAGGCCCAGACTATGGGCGGCGACGAGGCCGCGACGGGGCGGCGACGGCGACCACATAGTCACCAAACGCAGGCGCTGGGAGGGGGCGGCCATCCTCGCCGTGCAGTTCCAGTCGCACCCAAGCGCCCCAACCTCGGCTGATTAGATAATATATATATGTGTGTACAGATATATACACACATGTGTTTGTGCTCTCTCTCTCTCTCTCTCCCTCTCTTCTCTACCCCACTCTTTTTCTATTTCTGTGGCTCCCTGGCTCGCTGGCCATCGCTGGGACGCACGTCGCCTGCGCTTGCTGACGAGGCAGGGTTGGGTCTGAGACGACGCACGCAGGGCGAATGTTGGGGATTTTACCCCCTCAAAAATAATTGAAGCCACATTGATGCGTCCCTCTCACGGCAACCTTTAGTAAAAGGCGAAATATTGGTACGAGCTGAAATGAACGCTGTGATGCATGCAACTTTCGTCGCTGCAATTCTCGCAGCGTCGCTGTTGCATGTTGCGGCGGTTTGCGAACACGAGAACAAATAAGTTAGCATGGCATTTTTCTGGCAACTCGTCAATGACAATGGTTGCGCTGCTGTGGCCATTACATGGCCAGCGTCGTGGGGGCTTTGGTCGGTCTGACTGTTGGCAGTCGCTCGCAGAATGCAAGTCAGAGTCCCTAAGTGCAAGCACTGTTTGCGGAAGAGATAAAGCGAGAGAGAGAGAGATAGAAAACAAGGAAACAACAACAAACACAACAACAGCAACAACAACAACATCAACAACAACAACAGCAACAGCAACGACAATCATTGTAAGACTGTTCGCTCCTAATTGCTCACGTGCTAATCAATACGTCTATCCCCAACCCTCGGTACCCGCCCTCGTCGTCTTCGATCGTACACCCTTGGCGGCATATCTTCCTTACCTGCCACGTGCGTGTAGCGCAGCCCCTCAAACAAGGAAAGGGGGGACGGGCGATGGAAGGGGAGGGAGAAGAATGGAGCATGAGAGAAATTAGCAGGAGGGGGCAAAGAGCAGAAAACCAGTGGTATAACCAGACGGGCAGATCGGGTGGGCAGACCCATGGCGGGCAGGTCGGGAAGGCGGGCCCAGGCGACGAGGTCGAGCAGGCGGGTTGCTGAAGCGTGGGTCCGCATGGATCGCGAGGGTGTCTCGAGCGATAGCGCGATTCCTAAGTAAATCGCGAGACAGCCAGAGCGAGAGCGTGATTCTTGTGCGCGAGGGCGCATCGTCTGACTAAATTGCGAGGGCGTCCCACGCGAGAGCGCGATGCGTACATGAATTGTGAGGAAGTCCCGCGCGAGGGCGCGATTTGGGGATACACTGTGAGGAAGTATCAGGCGGGAACCGTTGCTGTTGTTGTTGGCCCAGCTTGCACCCTGCGATTTTCCCGGATGAAAAACAGGAAGCGAGCCCCAGGGGAAGCACATCAATGGAAAAAACAATGGTGACCGGAGGGGGGTGATCAAGACACATGTTTTTTTGTCAGTGGTGAGAGTTCTCCAACAGCAGCAACCACACCAACAACGACGAGCAATCTTTTTGTAAGAGACGCCAGCAAAACCAACAGATCAAGACCTAGAGGGCCATCCTTCCGCCACGCATCGCAGTGGCACGCGGACAACTCGGCTGGCCCCGCGCCGCAGGCCGTGGCGAGGCCTGCCCTCCTCGCCCCCCCGGTGTGCCTGCCTGGGCGCGCGCGCCGACCAGGACTCGCATCGGCGGGCGCCAACTCTGCACGGGCGTCGAGCCTGCTCAGGCTGAGGTCGGGCCTGCCCCTCTATAGGGCGAAACTTCGAAAGTAGTGAAAAGATAGGATTGGGACGATGTCGTTTTCCAATTTTTTGATATTTGGGAGTATTTTGGTGTATGTTTGATTCTTCTCCAAAAATTGTTTTAACAATTTTTGATATTTGTGGGTATTTTTGGGGGTAGTTTTGATTCTTCGCCCCAGATCCCCCTTGCAGGGGGACAGGCCCGACCGAAGGTCAGACCGATCCTCCGCCCCGGAGTGGTGCATCTGCGTTCCAGGCCCAGCCAGGAGGGCGCATGTGCACCGACCTGGGGCCCAGGGCGAGCCTGGCCGGGATCGTCGCAGCGAGCACTCGGCGCCCCCCCCGTGGCCTCGAGGGCCGACCTCCTCCGCCTCCGCGTGTCCTCCTCCTCCTCCTCCTCCTCCTCCTCCTCCTCCTCCTCCTCCTCCTCCTCCAACCCTCCTCCTCCTCCTCCTCCACCTCCTCCTCCTCCCCGTGGCCGGGCGGCGTCGAGGGCTCCGCGTGATTTTCAGCCCCCGGTGCTCGTGCCGGGTTCATTTTCGCGCTCTGCGAGGCGGCGACGCTTCGGGGCAGGCGGGATGATCTGATCGAGATCCAGATCTCCGAGGTTCCAGCAAGAACGGGGCGACAGTTGTTTACCAACCATCTTGTGGCGTTAGGCCCTCGTTTTGAAGAGACATCGCCTATCCTATCCCTGCTTCTGCCTTCCGCGTGGTTCTGTTTCGGGCTACCCCTCACACGTTTAGTGGCCCCATCGGGTGCTCCACCGGAGGCCCCAGCGGCAGCGCCCGCATGCAGTTTCATCTCCATTTCGGCGCACCCCTCACTCGTTTCGCGGCCCTATATGGAACTCCGCCGGAGGCCCCAGTGGCAGCGCCCGCATGAGGTTTCACCCTAATTTCGGCATACCCTTCAGACGTCTCATTGGGAGCTCCACCGAAAGGCCCCAGTGGCAGCGCCCGCACGCATTTCCATCCTCCATATTGACACACCCTCACAAGTTGAGTGGTCCCATAGAAAGCTCCACGCAAGGCCCCAGAAGCAGCGCCCGCATGCTGTTTCACCTCAATTTCGGCACACCCTTCACACGTTTCGTTGTCCCATAGGGAGCTCCACTTAAGGCCCCAGTGGCAGTGCCCGCATGCGTTTCACCCAAATTTCGGTGCAGCGCTCACACGCTGCGTGGCCCCATAGGTAGCTCCACCGAAGACTCCACTGGCAGGGCCCGCATGCAGTTCCACCCCAATTTCGGTGCAGCGCTCACACGCTTCGTGGCCCCATAGGTAGCTCCACCGATGGACCCAGTGGAAGGGTCCGCATGCAGTTCCACCCCCAATCTGGCGCACCTCTGACACGTTTCGTTGCTCCATAGGGAGTTCCACTCAAGGCCCGGGGCAGCGCCCGCATGCAGTTCCACCCCGATTTCGGCACAACCCTTTACACGTTTCGTGGGCCCATAGTGAGCTCCACCTAAGGCCCCAATGGCAGCGCCCGCATGCGGTTCCAGCCGCCATTTCGGTACACCCCTCACACGGTTCGTGGCCCCATAGGGTGCTCCACCCAAGGCCCCAGTGGCAGTTCCCGCATGCAGTGCCACCATCAATTTCGGCACTCTCCTCACACGCTTCGTGACCCCATAGAGAGCTCCACCGAAGGCCCTAGTGGCAGCCCCCGCATCGGATCCATAGGGAGCTCCACTGAAGGCCCCTGTGGCACGGTCCGCATGCAGTTCCACCACCATTCCAGTGCATCCCTCACACGCTTTATGACCCCATAGGGAGCTCCACCGAAGGCCCCAGTGGCAGCGCCCGCATTGGATTCCAACTTCTATTTCGGCGACCCCCTCGCACGTTCCATTGCCCGATAGGGCTATGCCAGATGGAGCTCCACCTGAGGCTCAAGGGGCAGAGCCCACATGCGGTCCCACCCGCCATGTCGGCACGCCTCTCACACTTTTCGTGGCCCCATAGGGAACTCCACCGAAGGCCCCAGTTGCCCCTGTTGCTGGCCCTCTTCCTTCATTTCATTCCCCCCACGATGCTCGAAGGCCTCAGTGGCCGAGCCCGCATGGTGTCCCCGCTAGATTTCGGCACACCGTTTACGCGCCTCGTGGCCACATCAGGAGATTCACCGAAGACGATGCTCACAACGACGGTACTCACAACTGCATATGGTCGGGCCCTTCGCCAGGCTAATTTCTAACTAGTGGTCACGTCTAGAGGCCCGTTTGGGTGCCCGGGGTTGCCATTAAAAATGTGGGACGACCCTGGGAGGGGTAGCGCAGTTTGTGGGCCAATATTGTTGATGAATTCGTAGCATCGCCCCCGCAGTTTCGGATGAGAGTGAGGGGGGCGGGGGGATCGCAGGCATTTTTGAGTTTCCGAGGCTCGACAGCAAGTGGTGACAAGCCCAGCGAAGGCGCCGTTTTTTTTTGTTCCCCAATCAGTGCTTGTACTGAAGGGGTCCTAGCAGATGTTCCCCAATGAGTGCTTGCATTGAAGGGGTCCTAGCGGAAGTTGAAGGATTTGGCGAAAGTTCCCGCCGATTTTGGTGGCAGGCTGGGTTCCCGGCTTTCCGGGTTCCCGGTTCCGGGGTCCCAGGTTCCCAGGTTCCCACTTCTTGGTTCCGGGCCGATTTCGGAGGGCGGCGAGGTTCCCGGGTTCTTGGGTTCCTGGTTGATAATCTTATCGATCGGTCTCACCATCGATCTCATTACCGATTTCTCGATCGATCTCACAATCGATCTCGCTATGAATCCCTCAAACGATCTCACTGGAGGTCGCATGAGCGATCTCGCGATCGGTCTCACTATCGATCTCATTGAATCGACTTCACTCTCGGTCTCACGATCGACCTTACAACCGTCCTCACTATCGATTCCACTATCGATCTCACTATCGATCTCACAATCGATCTCAAGATCCATAGCATCAATTTTCAAATCATCCACTGATCGGGGTTTTCTCAGGTGTAATGTCTCAAACACCCTGTGGTGTTGGGTCTTCGTTTTGAAGAGAGACAGCGCCATGCGTTCCCGCTCCTCTACTCTCCTCCTTCCCCTCCTCCCTCCTCCTATCCCGTGCCTCTGCCATCCGTATGTCATCGTCGTTGTTATATGGGCTCATGCAGTTCCACTTCCACACTTCCATTTCGGCGCTTCCCTCACACATTCCGTGGCCCCATGAAGTGTTCCACCGAAGGCCCCAGTTAAAGGATCCGCATGCAGTTCCGCCCCCAATCCAGCGCACCCTCACGCGTTTCGTGGCCCCATAGGGCGCTCCACCGAAAGCCCCTGTGGCAGGGTCTGCATGCAGTTCCACGCCAATGTCGGCGCACCCCTCACACGTTTCGTGGCCTAGGGAGCTCCATCGTAGGTCCCTGTGGCAGGGTCCGCATGCAGTTCCACCCCCACTCCGGTGCACCTCTGACACGTTTCGTGGGTGCTCCACCGAAGGCCCCAGTGACAGGGTCCGCATTCAGTTCCACCTCCATTTCGCCGCACCCCTCACACGTTTCGTGGTTCATGCAGTTCCACTTCCGCTCCCGCGCACCCCTTGCGCGTTTCGTGGCTTCATAGTGTGCTCCACCGAAGGGCCCAGTGGAAAGCTCTGCATGCAGTTCCACCCTCGGCGCACCTTTCACACGTTTCGTGGCCCCATGGGGTGCTCCACCGAAGACCTCAGTGGCAGGGTTCGCATGCAGTTCCATCCCCAATCCGGCGCACCCCTCACACGTTTCGTGGCCCCGTAGGGCGTTCCGCCGAAGGCCCCAGTGGGTTCGCATGCAGTTCCACTCCAATTTCGTCGCACACCTCACGTTTCGTGGTTCCACAGGGTGCTCCACCGAAGACCCTTGTGGCAGGGTCCGCATGCAGTTCCATTTCAATTTCGGAGCGCCCCTCACACGTTTCCTGGCCACATATGATCTACGGCCCCGTTTGCTGCGCCCGTATGGCGGACCCGCCCCATTTCGTCACATCCTCCACGCGCTTCGTGGCCACAGAAGGAGATCCACCGAAAGCGATACTCACAACGACTGCACTCACAACTGCATATGGTATGGTTGGGTCTGTCGTCAGGCGATGTTACTCACAAAGGCATCACACAACGAGCTCGCTGCAGGCGCCAGCCTTGTTCCAAACCTTCCTGTGGTGTTGGGTCATCGTTTTGAAGAGACCGCGCCCCGCGTCCTCTCCTCCTTCCCCCCCACGCCCCTGCCTCTGCCGTCCCCGTGTCCATGTCGGCGCACCCCTCACACGTTTCGCGCCCCCGTCGGGAGCTTCACCTAAGGCCCCAGTTGCCACACTCGCATGCAGTTCCACATCACCATCTCGGCACACCCGTCACACGTTTACAAGGAGCTCCACCGACGGCCCCAGAGGCTGCGTTCACATGCAGTTCTATTGTCCTTTTCGGTGCGCCACTCACATGTTTCGTGGACCCATAGGGAGCTCCACCCAAGGCCCCAGCGGCTGTGCTTACATGCGGTTCCGCCCCCCATTTCGGCACACCCTTCACACGCTTCGTGGCCCCATGGGGAGCTCCACCGAAGGCCCCAGCGGCTGCGTTCGCATTCAGTTCCGCCTTCCCATCTCGACACACCCCTCACTCGCTTCGAGGCCCCACATGGGGGGTCTACCGAATGCCCCAGTCGCTGCGTTCGCACGTGGTTCCAGCTTCAATTTCAGCCCATTGGTCCCACGTTTTGTGGCCTCATATGGGAACTCCACCGACGGACCCAGTGGCCGCCATTTTGGCACATCCCTCACGCGCCTCGTGGCCCCATAGGGAGCTCCACCGAATACCCTAATGACTGCGTTCGGATGCAGTTCCGCCCCCTATCTCGACATACCCTTTACACGAGCCGTTGCTTCATAGGGAGCTCCACGGAAGGCTCCAGCGATTGCATTCGCATGCGGTTCCATCTTCGATTTCGGCACACCCCTCACACGTTGCGCGGCCACGCACCTATTTCGGCGCACACTTCACGCGCTTCGTGGCCCCATAGGGAGCTCCACCGAAGGCCCCAGTGGTTGCGTTCATATGCAGTTCCGCCCCCCATCTCGGCAAACCCCTCACTCGCTTCGTGACTTCATACGGGTTTCCACTAAAGGCTCCAGTGATTGCATTCGCATGCGGTTCCGCCCTCTCCTGTCTCGGTACACCCCTCACATGCTTCGTGGCCCTCTCGGGAGCTCCACCGAAGGCCCCAGCGGTTGCGTTCACATGCAGTTCCACCCCCCATGTCAGCACACCCCTCGCATGCTTCGTGGCCCCAGAGGGTGTTGTGGGCGGGTCGCGGGGCGGGTCACGGCTGCGGTGCGGGCGGGTCGCGGGTGAGTGGCGGTGTGGTCGCGGAGTGGGTCGCGGGTGGGTCGCGGTTTGGTCGCGGGTGATTCACAGGGCGTGTCGTGAGGTAGATCGCGGATGGGTCTCGGGTGCGTCGCGGGTGGGTCGTTGGGTGGGTTACGGGGTGGGTCGTAGGTGGGTCGTGGTTGGGTCGCGGGTGGGGGCGATGACAACAAACAACAACAGGCAACAATAATAATCCGCATTTCGGAACCCCACTTCAGCCACGCTCCCAAGGACGGTGACCTTTCGGCCCTCTGACTCTGACGTCGGAGATCGGGGGATGAGCGACAAAACAAAAGAAGACGGCTGCGAGGACATCCGCGCGCAAGTTGCTCTCTCAAGGTCGCCTTCGTTTCCACGAGCCGTTCCGCGCATGGCGCGGATAGCCCGTCCAGGGGTGGCAGTGAAGGTCCCCCACCTAATCGACGTGAGTTTTTCTGCCGCGGTGCTTCCTCGTTGTCTTGCGCCTCCCGTGTCACATGCCTCTGTCTGCCTCGGTGGAGAGTAGCTCTCAGAGGCAATCTCCTGGCAGACTCGAAGGAGCAGAGCGGACGCGGAGCGAAGAAAGGGATACGTAACGTGGGATTGGAGGCAGGAGTCAGAAGTACGAATCAGCAAGCAACAGCGCGCAGCACCAAACAGCAGCAAGCAACGCCGAACAGCAGCAAGTTCCTGCAAACGACGGCAATCGGCAGCATGAGCAGCCGGGGGCTCAAGCAGCAGAGTTTCCCGTTGTGCCCGAAACAGGTTTTGAGTCCCAGAGCCCAGAGCAGATGGGATTGAGGGATCGCGCCGCGTCGCCGCTGCATCGGCGACACGGCGCGACCTTGATCCCAAGCCCGATGTTCTCTGAGCCGAGGTCGCCGATCGGTCGGCGATGCGGTACGATCTTCTGGACTCAATCTGCTCGGGTCCCACCTTGGCGGCCTTCCTATTCCATGTCCGCCTAAGACAGGCAGGCCCGACGGGAAGCACGACGATCCAGATTTGCAGCGTTCTTGGCGTATCCTCCGCCATGCAGGACAAGGGGGCCTCGTGGACGCGGGCCCTGGACCCCTGGAGTGCTCCCCGGGACCAGCTCTCCCCCCTGAGTCGTTTGCTGACGGCCCCGGGGCCCGTGGAGACCCCGGAACCTCCCTCCCCCGCCAGGACCCGCGCGCTCTTCCCCACGAGTCCAGAGTCACGGCGTCGCCGCGACGCGGGCCCCCCGCCAGGGCCCTCCGCCCGCGGGCGCAGGAGGAGCAGGCGAGGGAGGAGCCCTCGCCCAGCGCCGCGGCTGCCGTGGCCCCTCGTCAGCCGACGTGACGCTTCCGCCGCGGCGTGGGGCCAGGACCCCAGAGTTTGGTCGCGCGGCTGGGGGGCGAGACGCCACCGCTCTCTTGTCCTTGTGCTCAGGGATCCTTTCGTTTGGCTCCTCAGGTACGGCCGAGCATCTGCCCAAGACACCTCCTCCCGACCAGCTGGGCCGGCGTTTCTTGACCCACCTGCCAGAAAGCTGGCTCGGCTTCTCGAGGGAACTGGTAGCGCTCCAGTTCCGGCTCGTGCCGGCTCGCCCCCAAAACGCCGGCTCAGCGCTTCCCTGAGACACCTCGGACAGGCCGGCCCCGCTTCCTTCATATCGAGATTTCTCTCTGCGTCGCACCTTCGACTGCACGTGGCTGGGCCTCGCCGCGCGTGCTCGCCCCGCCGGCGCCCGTGCTCGCTCGTGTGTTGAGCGCCCCTTGGGCGTCGACCTGGTCAAGTGGCGCGTCCTCTCCCGCAGTACGTGAGGCTGGTGTTCCCGAAGCGCCGCTGACGGCTACACCACCGACCCCTTCCCCTCCCGGGACTTCACCACCGGGCTCCTCTCCAAGGTGTGTACCTTTTCCTGCGCGTCCCGTTCGGCACCGCCTGACCCCCGGGCTTCGCCCGCTCCTGGCCGCGTGAGGCCCCGCCCGCTCCCGCCCCTTCTCTGTCAATGAAAGCTGTGCGCGCCCCGCGGAGCTTTTAGCGGAAGAGGCTCGCCCTCGCCTGCAGTTTTTTTGTGTTTTTTTGTGTGTGTGTTTTATTACAAATAATAATATTATTATTATTAATAATAATAATAATAATAATAATAACAATACTAATAACAATAATAATAATAACAATAATAATAATAATAATATAAAACAACACACACACACACACACACACAAAAGTGCTGAGCGCCCCGTGGGCGCCCCGTGCCCCGAGGTGGGCGCTCCCCGGGGGCTGCGCCGCCGGGGGGCGCCCGGACGCCCGCTCGGAGGGCGCCCCCGTGCCGCCGCGGGGGCCCTCGGCGTGCCCGGCACGCGGCGGTCACCGCGCGGCGCAGACCGCGGGGCCCACGCCCGCCAGCGGAGCCCGCGCCGCGTGTCCTCCCCCCCCCCTCCTCCCCCCCCTCCCCCCTCCTCCCCCCTCCTCCCCCCCCTCCCCTCTCCCCTCCTCCCCCCTCCTCCCCCCCCTCCCCCCCTCCTCCCCCCTCCCCCCCCCCCCCTCCTCCCCCCCCTCCTCCTCCTCCTCCTCTCCTCCTCCTCCTCCCTCCTCCTCCTCCTCCTCCTCCTCCTCCTACTGCCACAGCAGAGCTCACACCACCACGGCTCACGCCGCATCTTGTCTTACACGGCACGGCTTCCTCTCGTGCCGTTTCCGCCGCATGTCTCGCACAGTATAGCTCACACCGCATATTTTGCAACACAGCTTACACATCGCTGATTATAAAGAGATGAGCCAGCGTTGACTCCAAGTAGATCAGGCGACCCAAATCAAGAAAACAGAGGAATCGAACATGCTTGGAATCCGCAGCTCAGCAAGCGAGTAAGCGTGTAAGCAAGCGCGCAAGCAAGCGCGCAAGCAAGCGCGCAAGCAATCAAGCAAGAAAGCAAGCAAACGTGCAACCGCGCAAGCACCGGCATAGGCAAAGGCCATAGGCATAGGCATAGGCATAGGCATAGGCATAGGCGTAGGCATATGAGTTAAGGTGGAGGCATAGGCATAGGCATAGCAATAGGAATTAGGGGGCGGCATAGGAATGGGGGGGGCAACGGGCCAATAGGGTTTGAGTTAGAACTCTTACAGGGCAAGCCTGTTTGGAGAATAACTGCCATCTCCAAAGTGTACTTGCTCACTGCTTGGGGTCCGCGATGGCTGATAAGGCTGCTTATGCTCAAAACAGTGGGCCCTCAAAGCCCCCCCAAGGACATTCAAACATATTCGGGATGCAAAAGCGGTTTCGAAGAAATGATCGAGATTTTTGTGGGGAAATTTTGCGGAAGGATCACGGTTCCTGGGGTCTGAGGAGGAGGAGGAGGAGGAGGAGGAGGAGGAGGAGGAGGAGGAACAGGATGGAGACAGAGAGAGAGGGATAGGAAGAGAGACAGCGAGAAAGAGAGAGAGAGAGAGAGTGGGAGAGAGAGTGACCGAGGAGGAACAAGGACGAGAGAATGGGAGGAGGAGGGGGAGGGGGAGGGGGATCCGACGTCGCGACTTTCTCCAGACCCAGAGCTGTCGACCCCTTCCCCTGGGACCGGTTCTCATCCCGCGTCTTCTTCCAACGCCCCCAGGGCCTGAAGCGGGCCTTTGGCGGCCCAAGCCGAGGAAGAATCGCCCCTCACGACCTGTTGGCGACCCCGGATCCCGAGGGCCCGTCCGGAAGCGGCCGGAGACAGCGCACCTCCAGCATCCGAGAGCGGAGGCCGCCCGCCGCCGAGCGCCGCGGCTCCCGTCACCGCGCGTCGTAGTCGTCGTCGCGCAGGCGGCGGCGGCGGCGGCGGCGGCGGCGACGACGGCGACGACGACGGCGGCGACGACGACGACGACGACGACGACGACGGCGACGACGACGGCGACGACGACGACGACGACGACGGCGACGACTGCGGCGGCGACGACGACGACGACGACGATCGCAGGCCGCGGCGAGGCGGGCGGAGCCCGCGGGCTCGGGCCGCCAGGCCGCCCAGATGCTGCGAGGAGGGGCGGCGCCGTCGTCCTCGTCGTCGGTCTCGTCGTCGTCCTCCTCGTCCTCCTCGTCCTCCTCGCCCTCCTCCTCCTCGTCCTCCTCCTTCTCCTCCTCCTCCTCCTCCTCCTCCTCCTCCGTGCTGGTCCTCGTGCTCGCCCTCGGCCTGCCCTCCTCCCCCCCTCCCCCCCCCCCGCTCCCCCGCGCGTTTCGGCCTCCCCGGCGGGTTCCCGCGCCGCCTCCCGCCGCCGTCCTCCTCCCTGCGCTGCTCCCTCGGCCGATCACGTGCACTCCTCCTCCTCCGCGGCCTCGTCTTGGCCCGCGTCCTCGTCGTCCCCGTTAGTTCCCAGTTTGTGCCTCCTGGTGCCGCTGTGGGCCCCCCCGGGGCCCCAGGAACGGACCATTCAAAGCAACGGCCCGTCACGAGAAAACACGTCTTCGGGATTTGTCCAGAGCTTTGGGTGCCCACGTGGCGAAGATATCAAGACTTCGCAGGTCAGGTGTCGGCGTTGCCGCCGCCGCCGTCGAGGAGGAGGAGGAGGAGGAGGAGGAGGAGGAGGAGGAGGAGGAGGAGAAGTGGAAGGTGGGGAAAGGGGTGGGGGCGGGGAGAAGGAGAGGAACTTGTGGGAGCAGGAGGAGGCTGAAGGAGGACGAGGGAGAGGCGGAGGAGGAGCGGATCGGAGGTGGTGGATCAGGCAGAACGAGGGGGCAGGGACCCGGGAGGAGGAACCCCTCAAGGTTTCTTATTGCGAGGGTGGGATCTTGTCGAGCGGGGTCCCTCTTTCTGCATCGGGAACCCTAGCTCCGCATCCTTCGGGCGCCGTTTCGATGGTCAACCCGTGGCCCCAGTCCCCCGATGGCCTTGGGGTCCGCCAGAAATGTTGGGACACTTCGGGCAGTCGGCGGTCTCCCAAGCCCGTGCCTAAGACTTCTTACGGCACGATGTCTTATCGCGAGTGCCTGCCGTAAGTACACCAGTGGTCTGATATGTCTCTTCGTCGCTTGGCCCTCGTCTGACCCTGGCACGCCGGCCATCCGCACGTCTACTCAGTGGAAGCCCATGCCAAGAAGCACCCTGCCTGCCTCCCGGGTGCCCTGGGTCTCTCGGGTTTCGATGGTGTTGCTATGGAGCGTGCCGTTCCCATACCTACCGAAAATCGATGTACGTCCTGGGGTTCCAGGGTAGGGTGTCTTGTGGAAGGTCTCTTCTGGTCGAGCTCCTGCCGCGTCCAGCAAGTGGCCTCCGCATGCCCCGTGGTGGAGTTTGAGTCCCCGTGGTCAAGCCGAGACTACCTTGGGCCAGTCCAGCGTCCTCACGCCTTTTTGCGGCTCTGTCAGGCTTCCTCCTGGGCGGGGTTCGGCACTCTTGACTCGAACGCGCAGGGCTCGTCATCCCCACGAAGCAGTCTCCGAGCAGTCGCCTCCTATACGTGCGGGTCGGACGGCAGGGAGGGGGCAGTAGGAACGCATGCAGCTCGTTGCGGCCCCGCCGAGGGGCACTCTTTGTGTTGGGGCGTGTGCGCTTCTGGCGCCGGGCGGCTCCACGAAATCCAGCCGTGCGGGCTGATTCGCTCACCTCCCTTTACTATTAAGTCGGGCGTGTCCCTCTACAGGAGGAATATTCAAAGATAGTCAAAAAATAGTCGGGGTACGATTTTTCGACGGTTGTTGAGCATTCGTTGGGCATTTGTTTGCGTATTTTCAAAGTTTCGCCAAACATCTGCCTGTAGGGGGACATGTCCGACCTAACTTTACTACCCCCCTCTTCGTCCGAGCCAACGCAGCAGGCGCGCCAGGATAGAGGCTGGCCTGCCAGGAGGTGCCCCACTCCGTTTCAGATCCCCGGGGTGGCTGTGGGGGCCCATAGAAGCTATAGGGCACCTTGGGACTCTGAACAATCGACGAGGAGTGTGCCCCACGATGTCCTATTTTTCGCTGCGCCGTGTGTTCCGACGTGCAGCCTCACGCCTGGGGCAGGGCGCCGCGGCCACCAGGGCAAGCTACACCTCGGACGCCGTGGGTTCGCACGTGGGGTGTGCCGCAGCGCCAGTTTCGTCTCCCTGGGGCGCGGGACGCAAGGTTGGCCGTGGTGCCCGCGTCGTCCTTTTTGGGAGCGTCCTGGGTCTCGCGTAATGGTGAGGGGGGGGCGAGAAAATGCGGGGGCAGCGAGGGCTGCAGAGCAGAGGCCCTTCAGGGCCCCAAAACTCAAGAGGGGACCTTCAGGGCCCTAAAGGGGGTCCTCTGGGACCTGAAAACTGTTTTCGTTTCTTCCCCCATCAGTTTTCGCCCCCCCCCTCCGCCCACTGCGCGTTGCACATGCGTCGAGACAACAAGCGGCGGGGCGGCGACATCTGGGGCGTTCCAAAAAGAGGCCTCGCCGTCGAGGATAGAAGAAGGCCGCGGAAGGTCGGAAGGCGGAAGGTCGCGGAAGGCAGCGAGGTCGCGGAAGGCGGCGGAAGTGAAGCGAGGCCGACTCCGCCGGCGGAAGCCGGCGGACGCTCGGCGGAAGGAGGCTGAGGTAAACGAGGCGCCCCCAAGAGAGGAACACGCTCTTGGGTGCAGGGTTTTCGGAATTGTCCTTCTCGTGCGCGCCCGCTGCAGCAAGGCACTTGGCATCGCTCGGACGTGTGCACTTGTTCTCGGCGAGAGCCATCGAGGAGCCTCCTGGACCATCGAGCAAGGAAACAGCACGCACGACATGGAGCAAAACAGCAATGTACGGGGGGGAGTGGACGTGTCCGAGCGACGGCAGTTGGCAGGGCCCGCGGGGGAGGGGGCCCCGCGAGGTCCGCGCGGCCGCGGAGGCACCACGGAGAAGAGGGGGGGGGGGGGGGGCGAGCGGCGAGGGGGGAGGCAAGCAGGGCCCCGCCGCGGCGGCGGCCGAGGGCGGCGGCAGGCTGGAGGCGCCCCGCTCCTCCCCTCCGGGGGGGGGGGAGCTCCGGGCAGCGGGCGGGGCTCCATGGGGCCCAGGCCCCCTCGAGGCCTGGCTTGGCATCGCTCGGGCGTGTGCGTTTTTTCCTCGGCGAGGACCATCGAGGAGCATCCTTGATCATTTGGCGAAGAAACCACGCGCGAAACCGAAAAAAACACAGGGAGTGGACGTCCGAGCGATGGCCGACCTGGGCACCTTTCCCCTCGATGATTTTGCCGTGGGAGGCGTGGCGCTCCCGCGCGAGGCATCGAGGGGGCGCCCTGGGGGGTCTCGGGGGGCCGGGCCGCTTGTGGGAGGCGTCTCGTGGACGGGCCCCCAGTGTGCCCACGTCTCCCGACTGGCGTGTCCTGGGCGCGGACTACAGATCAGGAGGGAAAAATTACCCCAGTGCGACCCTGCCTGGAAGTTGGAGTCCCTAGGAAAGCAGCATTAGTTGCTATGCGCTAAGCTAAGGGGACGTAACTGGGGGAGCCGCGGGGCGGATACTGGGGGAACCGCCCAGGGCGCGTTCCACTGCCCGGCCCTTTAAGCACGCCGAGTAAGAACCCTTCTAGGCAGAGCCTGGGTAGGGAAAACACACAGACACGATCCATCGTCTATTCCCCAGAAAACATGGGAAGGCATGGGAAGTGGGGGGAGGGGGGAGACGAACACCCAAGACATGTGGGAAGAGATGGGGACTAGTTTCATTCGTGTGTATGTATTTGTGTGTCCTGGGGCCCCTTCGCCAGAGACCCAGACCCCCCTCGGGTCATGACAAAAGTCACGGCCGGGGGGTTTTCCATGATTTTCGGCCTCGGGGGGCCCCTGCCGGGCTTCGGGGCCGCCAAGAAACGACTCAAGCTCACGAGCCGGTCCCGGGGAAGGGGTCCAGACCTTCGGGTCATGACAAAAGTCACGGCAGGGGGGTTTTGCATGATTTTCGGTCTCGGGGGGCCCCTGCCGGGCTTCGGGGCCGCCCAGAAACGACTCAGGATGACGAGCCGGTCCCGGGGAAGGGGTCCAGCCCTCCTGGGGGTCGACGTCGTGAACAAATCACGACGTCGGGGGTCTGGGGAGGCGGGGGTCCCATGCAGACTCAAAGGAAAAGGTACCCATATATGCTACCTTTCCCTCGTTTTCCCCTTCTTTGGGCCTCCTGGGGGGGGCCCTCGTCGCCACCACTGGATTCGCTTCGAATCGAAATCCTAGTCAGGACGCACCCAAGGAGGGTCCAGGGAGTAGCGGTATCGGTACGTGTTGGTTTCCCCACAAACGGGGGGTCAGCCAGAGCGCCGGATCTTGCAGGATCCTGCAGGGCCAAGGTCGCGCTGGCCCCCAGGATCTTGCAGGATCTTGCAGCGCATGATTGACCCGAGTTTGCATTGACCTGGGCCAGCCCAGGATCTTGCAGGATCTTGCAGCGCATGATTGACCCGAGTTTGCTTTGACCTGGGCCAGGAGATCCCCGAAGAGGGTGGGGGTCAGAGGAGGAAACGGTACGGCAGGTTCGCGTCGGGTCGACCGGCGGCGGCGACCCCGCCGTAGGAGTTCAACGTTGAACGCCGCCGCCGGCCCAGCATCGGTCGATGTTGAACGAGCTGACGTTTCGGAAACGGCCGATCGTTCAAGGCGGAACGATCCCCGCGGTGTCGAGAACCAGCGCCCGCGTCGGCACGTCACGAACCTGCCGCGCCCATATATACCGCTACCTTTGCCTCGATTCCGTCTTTGAGGGGCCTCCCGGGAGGCCCTCGCCGCCACCGCTGGATTCGCCTCGAAGTCCTGGTCAGGACGGGGCCCAGGAGAGGTCTTGGCGGCGCGCAAAAGGGGGTAGGGGGAGGGGGGAAGGCTTCTTAGAAGCACCCTGCTTCTTAGAAGGCCTCGGCCTTACGTCTATAGAGAATGCCCGCGCCTTCTAAGAAGCAGGGGTGCTTCTAAGAAGCCTTCCCCCCTCCCCCTCCCCCCCTCTGCGCGCCGCCAAAGGTCTGGGGAGGCGCAGTATCAGTGCCCTCTGGTTGCCCCATGGGGGTGCGAGGAGGAGAGTGCAAGGCACCGCGCAGGCCACGCTCCGTGCCCCTCCCCGGCGAGCGGGCGAGGTGGCGGCGCGCGCAGCGCGTCGGGCCGGACGAGCGAGGCCCGACGTTGGAGGTGTTCGAACGTTCTCGTCGGTCCCCGGCGGTCTCCGGCCTCGGGAGGCTGTCCGGCAGCTGCGCCTCGCCGAGAGCTTCCCAGGGGGTGACAGGGTCGTCCCGAAGGGCCACCGGAGACCCTCGGGGGCGGAAAAGAGGGGGGTGATGACTAGGGGGGGGTGGATATCATGGCGCGGGCCATGATATCTCCCCAGATTTCATGGCGCCTCATCTCATTTCATTACGTCCCTGGCCCCTCCGCTGGGCCGCGCACATGCTGCCGGTCATGATTTGCACACACCCCTCTTGGACACCCCCCTCTTTGCCGCTCCCGAGACCCGAGGGGCGACCCAAAGACGAAACGACGAGGATCCCTCGGGTCCGCCGACAGGGGGGAGATCGGGAAAGGGGGGGCTGCGCCAAATCTGCCGCACGCCCCCGGTCTGGGCCCCGCCGCCATGGCCCTCCTCGACACCCGGGCGCCTTCGGCGCTGGGAGGCGCCGGAGAGAGAGCAGCTGCTGGAGCTTGGGCGTCGCGTAATGGGGGGGTCAAAAAAGCAGGGGTGGCGAGGGTGGTCCGAAAAGGTACCCAAACGGTACCTAAACGAGCCCCCTGGGGCTCTGGAGGGGCCCGAAAGGGGCACGAAAGGGGATCGTTTCTGACCCCCCCATTTACGACCCCCTAAGTAAGCCACGCCCAAGGAGCTGATTCGCCAACACCCCTTTCACTGACGCCCTCCTTTCGGCCGCGGCCGCAGGAGCGACTGCCGCGGGGACGCAGGAACTCCCTGCGGGCGCGTCGTCCGGCGAAAGCATTGTTACATTGTGACGGCCGGCGTCGTGCAAAAAACCAACGCGCCACTCCGCGCCACTCACGCCACTCAGCGCCAGTCAGCGCCACTCAGCGCCATTCAGCGCCATTCAGCGCCATTCGTCCATTGCCTGGCGCAGAGTGGCGCAGAGTGGCGCTGAGTGGCGCTGACTGGCGCTGAGTGGCGCTGACTGGCGCTGAGTGGCGCAGAATGGTGCGGCGACGCACTGGTGGCGCGAACCGGCGCTGAGTGGCGCTGGGTGGCGCTGAGTAGCGCTGAGAGGAGGAGGGGTGCGAGGAGGAGCACGAGGCTGAGGAAGAGGAGGAGCAAGAGGAGGATGAGGGACATGAGGAGGGGCAGGAGGAGGGGGATGGAGGAGGAGGAGGAGGAAGAGGGACAGGAGGAGGTGGAGGAGGAGGAGGCAGAGGATCTGGAGGAATCCAATTGGAGCCATGGGGCCCTCTCTTCGAGGCATATTGGAGGCCATTTGGGGGCCATCTGAGGATGCATTATGCCGTATCGGCTGGGCTATCCAGAACCCCCTCGGGGTCATCTTGTAGCCTCTCGGGGGCCTCTTGAGCCCATCTTGTGGGCTTCGGGATGCCCCATCCAAGAGAAGGACATCGATCAAAGAAAGGGTCACCATCGTGGCGCCATCGCATCCATTACCTTCGTCATCTTTGCCGCCTGCTCCCTCGTCACCCTCGTCAGCCCTAGCCCATATTGCGCTCATATTTTTGGCAACCGCGATGGCTTGCGCCATCTGCCTCCGCGGCCTCGAGCCAGGCGACTCGTGGTCCTTGCTGTGCGGGCATGCATACCACAAGGATATGCCTACGCAAGGCTTTTGGGTAGCCCCAGAGTAGCCTTAGAGGCAAGCCCTCGGGGTAGCCCTTGGGTTAGCCTTACGGGTTGCCCCAGGGGTAGATCTTAGGGGTAGCCCTAGGGGTAGGCCCAATGGGGTGGCCCTTGGATGCCCTTAGGGGTCGGCCTTAGGGATCTGTTTCGGATAGCCCCACGGGTAGGCCCCAGGGGTAGGCCAAGGGTAGCCCTGGGGGTTGGTTTTGGGTGTAGGCCCACGGTAGCCCTAGGGGTAGGCCGTAGGGGAAGAAGGCTCAGGGTGGCTTTAGGGGTGGGCCCTACGGGTAGGCCTAGGGTAGCCCTAGGGGTTAGGCTCTCGGGGTAGGCCCAGGGTTGACCTTCCTTGGGCGATTTATCAGGCCGACCTTGGGGGGCTGCTCGACTTGATGGCGGCCAACCGCTCCAGCGCGGGGCTGCCGCCGCAGGCGGTGGCGCCTGCAAACCATTCCACGGACGTCTACGAGAGACACCGGAAGCTGCTGCGTTCGCTGTATCAGAATATATTTCCACCTTTGCGCTTCCAGGTGCATGCCGACACACCCAAAGGGGCAAGCTCGGGCGTGCTCTCTGGCGGCCGCGCACGGTCCAGGCGTGGTCGTCGCTGGCGAGCCTATGCATTGCCTAGGGGCGCGTTGGCCCGAATCGCGCGCCTCTGCAATACCCAGCTGGACAGCTCCGCGTCGTACTGCAATTACCGCACAGAGAAGGCGTTCGAGGCCGAGCTGCGGCGCGTGCAGCGCTGGTACCGGCCGGGGCGCCGGCAGCGACGGTGGCGCACCGGCATCGTGCGCGACCGGCGGCAGGCCGTCACCGTCAAGGGCGCGCGGAGCGTGATCACGCAGAAGGTGCGCGACCATTTCCGCAGGATGCGTCGCCGAGTTAAGGTGGAGGGCTTGACGAATTGGCGGGATGTTGCGCTCGCCACGCGGCAGGCTGGCATTCCCGTCCAGTCTGGCACCGTCCCAGTGGAGCGCCTGTGGTCCTGCCTCGAGGACATGATGCCTTCAGCCGCGCGGGGCGTATCGCTCCGCTGGTTTCGGGTCCTCAGCATGGTGATGTTCCTCCGCTACAACTACACGCACTTCAACAAGGACAACTTGCCGACGATGGCGGAGCGGGACCCTCTGCTCGGCCAGCTCCTGGCGACGATCGCCATGCTCGCGCGGGCTGTTAACGAGTCCGACCAGGGCTTGTCGCACCTAGCGCCTCTTTCTGACCCGTTCGGTTCGCGCTGACGTGCCGCGCGGGGTGCGACCTGCTATTTGTTCCTTCCCTTTGATTTTTGTTCGTGCCCGTGGGCCTGACCGCGCGCTGCAAAGTTCGCGCGAGTTGCCTCCGCCGCGGCCGCGGCCGCGCCATTTTGTAGCATTTCGGCCCCCGGTGCCCCTGGCCCCCACACGCGTGGCCAATATTTGCCTTTACCAGAATGCGCGATGGCAGTTTGGCTCGTTCTGTCCGCGGCTCCGGTCGCGAGATTTGATGTTTCCTCTGCTTGCTTCTGCGCGGACGGTGCGCATCGCCTCCGCCGCGGCTTCGGCCGCGCGCGGTCGTTTTCTCCGATTGTCCCCGCTTGCGCGGTTCATTCCACGCATATCGCTCCCTCTCCCTCTCTCTCTCTCTCTCTCTCTCTCTTTTTTCTCTTTCTCTCTCTTTCTCTCTCTCTCTCTCTCTCTCTCCCCCCTCTCTCTCGGTCCGCGTCGCTACCGCCCGAGAACCAGTGGCGCCCGCAGGCAGGCGAAAACTCTTCTTTTTCCGACCTTCCTTTTCTTCCTGCTCCTCCTGTTTTTCTCATTCTGCTGCTGCGTTTGTTGGCTTTGTGAGGCGAATTCCCGTGGGATCTGTTGTTCCCTGTAAAAAAACAATTGTTTTCAACATTCTTTTTGTCTTGGCGTCGCGCCGCCCCTCTCTTCGCAGTGTCGCTCGCAGCTGTGATATGTTTGCATTTGCGCGAAAACTATGGTCTTCGTATGGGCTTTGTGTAGGAGCTGGCAGATCCCACGGGGAACCCTTCGATTTTTTGGGAAGCGTTTCTGCCCCGGTCCTGCGGGGGGCCGTTGCGCCAGTGGTTCCGCCAGATCCCACCCCCGCGCTCGCGAGGTTCCAGTGGCCTCCTGCGTCCTGATTTGCTTCCTGTGTTCCGATGCTCCTCGTAAGCCCTCCAGTCGTCCTCTGCGTCTTCCTCTAGTTAAGCGTCCCTTCGCCGCAGCTCGCTTGTTCCCGAGGTGACGATTTCCGCTCTGGCAATCATCCGATGGCGTGCTTTGGCAACTTTCCGATGGCTTATCGAAGAGCAGACAATATATGCACGGTATCGAGTCTAGATTGGACACCCCTGCTCCCCCACTGCTTGCGATTGAAGATGGCCCTGCTGTTAGTGTGCACCACCCCCAGCCCGAGGATATCGAAGGATCGGATGGGGGGGAGGAGAGGGAGGGAGGGCCGGGGGCGACGGGGCAGGGAAGGGCGGGGCAGGGCCCTCCTACTCGTCGTCGTCGCCGTCCTCCTCCTCTCCCTCCTCGCCCTCCTCCTTTTCGTCTTCGTCCTCGTCCTCCTCCCCACCCTCCCCATCATCTTCTTCCTGCAGCCGCTGAGTGGCGCCGGGTGGCGTTGAGTGGTGCCGAGTGGCGCTGACTGGCGCCGAGTGGCGCTGAGTGGCGCCGAGTGGCGTTGAGTGGCGCCGAGTGGCGTTGAGTGGCGTCGAGTAGCGCCGGTCGAAGTTGAGTTGCTCCCTGGAGTAGCGCAGAGTGGCGTTGAGTGGCGCTGAGTGGCGTAGAGTGGCGCCGAGTGGCGCTGAGTTGCGCTGAGTGGCGCGTTGGTTTTTTGACCCCGCGGGGCCGTCAAGTTGAGTTGGTCCCTGGAGTAGCGCAGAGTGGCGTTGAGTGGCGCTGAGTGGCGCAGAGTGGCGCCGAGTGGCGGTGAGTTGCGCTGAGTGGCGCGTTGGTTTTTTGACCCCGCGGGGCCGTCACGCTGCATTGTTAAGTCGGCCTTGTCCTTCTACAGGGGGAATATTCAAAAAAACAGACAAAATAGTATGGGGACGATTTCTTGTTCTTTTTCCATATGGCTTTGAATATTTTTGATGATTTAGAATTTGTCGTCCAACATTCCCTGTAGGAGGACATGCCCGACCTGAGCCAACGTGGGAGTTACGATGCGATGCGACGGCGTCAGTGTGCCGCAAAGGCGTCCGACCCGAAGGGACGGCGCGAGGGGGCGGACTCCCAAGGAGGCGCTGGGGGGGCTTCTCGCGGAAGGCGGTGGAGCTTCTCTTCAGCGCCCTCCCAGCTTCCGAGGATAGCCTCCGCAATCGAGATTGGGTCGGGCCTGTCCCCCTGCAGGCAGAGGAATGCAACAGCCATCCAAAGATAGCCTGGGGACGAGTTCCCCAACATGTGTTCGCCGATTTTCAAGCATTTTTTGGATAACGAGAATCAGACCGTGAATTACCTACCTCGCTTTCGCTTCCAGGCAAAACCAAGTCATACCACGCGCCTCCTCGTCAAGTGGCCTGACCAGTACAGGCCGTAGTTTGGCATCGCTTGGTATCTCTTGGAAACGAGGGTGGTCAAAAGCGAGGTAGGTTTGTTTGCCCCAGGGGGGGCCTGCCCGACCTAACCTGAGGAGCCCCGGGGCCCCCCTTTTCTGAGGAGAGGCGCAGGCCGGCGGAGAGCTCCCCCCCCCCCCTGCCGCCTTCTCGCAGGAGGCAGCCCTCTCCTCGCGCCCCCCCCACACCTCTCTCGGCGTGCGCCCTCGGCCAAATGTGCTGAGTTTCAGCCTGTCTTATGGCCTTTTTTTATGGCACTTTAGAGAGTGTGCGAGAGAGAGAGAGAGAGAAAACAACACAAAAAACAAAGAGAGGCAGAGACAGAGACAGAGACAGAGACAGAGACAGAGACAGAGAGTAGATATGTAGAGAGAGAGAGAGAGAGAGAGAGCCAGAGAGAGAGAGAGAGAAAGAGAGAGAGAGAGAGATCTGCGTGGCACGCGCACGCTGCTGGACGCGGTGTTGG